AAGGGCAATGAATGAGATTAACTTTCCTTTTTTTACATTTTCCCAAAACAACATGCTGAGACTTCTTCTCAGCAGGTTTATGTCTATAAGGTTCAAAAAAACGACTCATCCAATACTAAATTTGTCAACTATGAATTCAATAATTGACTAGTTTTTATCAACTTGTTGAGCTTGTTACAACCCTAAATGCGATTCATTTTCTGACCATACCAATTATATCCAATATTAGTTAAAAACATGAGACAGGCTTTGAACATGCATACAACTGAGATTATGTATTATGTGACGCTTCACAAATTCTATCAACTTGTGTGTCAAAAACTCCGCGACGGATTTATGGGAGCCGAGTCCTGTGTCCCACTCTCCCTGTTGGGACAAAGAAAAGAAAATGCTGGATGTTTGGTTTGGTGAAGAGGCGAGGGGGGAGTGGTTTCCAGTTGCTGCTACGGCTAAGCTAACATCGCTTACTGCACCTTTAAGTATGTTACTAAAAGATACTAGGGATGATATATCAACTAGTATTTTTGATCCATTACCAGTTTCTATACGACAGATATGACATCATTTCTAACACAACCAAAACCTAATCTGAGAAACAGAAGTACACACAAAACATCACCTAATCTTTGAACAGAGGCTGAGTCACCTTGAAGGCAAGTTTTGTTCTGTCTGAAACTCTAGTAGTGTCAGTGTTGATAAGCTGGTGACGTGTTTGCATAGAGGTTGTAAAAGCTGTTAAACCACCAGACTAAACATATAGAATACTGCTTGATCAATATAATAAACTAGACCAGGTAAATGTTATAATCTGGCATATTTACACTGACATTAAAATGGTTCATTACTAAAGGATTATACCAATAAAACAAATAAAAAACAAAAGTATATATAAATGAGGTCCCTGTCTCTCTGATCACCCGAACTCTCTCCGGTCACCCACACCCTCTACGGTCACCCACACTCTCTCCGTCCGGTCACTCACTCTCACTCCGTCCGGTCACTCACACCCTCTATGGTCACCTCTCCATGGTCACTCGCACTCTCTCCGGTCACTCACACCCTCTCCGTCCGGTCACTCCGTCCAGTCACCCACACTCTCCCCGGTCAACCACACTCTCCCCGGTCAACCACACTCTCCAGAGTCTGGTTTGCTCCTTCTTGGTTGGAATGAAAACCTGCAGCCACACCAGCCCTTTGAGGACCAATTCGAAACTCCTGATTAAATGTAACAAAAGTAGTTATTCTAGTTTCCTGTGACTGTAAGCTATGACAACAAACAGTTGATTATGCAATATGTTTACTTGCCGCAGCTAGAATTTAGCCTTTCAACAAACTGTTTTTCAACTTCTATTTACCAGTTCTCGCTATATCAAACGTGAGTAACGGTATAAATACATTTAGATAAACCTTAAATAAATCAGGTGAGAAACTAGTTTTTTGGGGGAACTTCTCAGAATATGGTTTGAATGGAAGCAGTCAAAATGATTCCTCTGGGAGTTCTGGTAGTTTCCAAAGTCTCAGAGCCCCAACAATTGTCTGAAAGGTGCTATATAAATAAAGAGTACCATCTGCTTAAACATTTGTCCAAAACTGCTGGAATGTCACCCTAAACTATCCTTTGACAAATTGCAGGATAGGAATGTATTTTATTAATGTTGTAATTCAAAAGAAATACAGTATAAATGGTGCACCAACTCAAATCAGAATTTCCCTAGAACCATCCTCGGTTCTTGAACGCTTCTCTATTTCCTGCTAAAATCATATATATATTTTTTTTCAAACTATGACCTTCTTAAATGAGGTTTCAATCAGGCAAAATAAGTCCAAACTATTGAACTATTCACACAGTTCACCTGTTGCTCATGTTTAAACTTGTCAGAATTTGTCAGAACAAAAAAGTTTCAAAACATAAACATTTTACTCTGAAATAAAGTAATCCAACTGGTTCCTAGCTCTCAAAACAGTTTGATTTTATACGTTTTCACATGGATGTTTTTAGCCTCAATCACATCTTTAGATCAGCTGTGAGATAGGTCTTACGCAGAAGAATCTTTTTGCATTATGTATAATGTATTATTTATGCACAGGAAAAGTTAAGATACCTCAGCATTGTTTTAATGTACAAGAAATCTGACTTGATGGACAAAAAAAATAACGCAATATTGCTTTGTTGGTCTGCAGCAAGACGACAAAATGTTTGTTTTTAAATTCCTGTAAATGGATTCCTGTGATGGATTCCTACACAGATAATCACTGTAATATGAAAATGCAGTGTCATAAAGATGAAGAAATATTACAGCATATTCTCTGTAGATTCAAAGGCACCTTGTCCATACATTTATTAAAGACGGTTACCCCGACGACGACACAATTTAAAATCCATTAGAAAGCAAGAATATTTCAGTAATTCCAGTTTAACACACACAAGACACACACAGGTCTTGAATCGTGGGAAATGGCAATATCCTAATTTAAACATGCGTATTAAGGGATCAAAGTCAACTCCCCATAAACAAAACATCTTAAAGGGCCCATATCACGGTTTTTGACTTTTCTCTGCTTTAAACATGATTACAGTGCTATTTGGCCTTCATACACAAGCCCACAGTAGTTTATTCATTGATTCTGTCAATCTTTTGTAAGAGAGCAATCTGTCTCCTTCCCCAGCGTGAGGCACAGAAACGCTCGGGTCCACTTCAGTGACAAAAACCACACTGATGACGCGCATGACGCGCATGACCCCGTTTGCTTTGTATTTAAAATACTTGTTAAATACTTTCGTCAAAACGGGGTAAACAATACACAATTAGTATGCTGTTTGTTTTCAAAAATAATAAAAATAAAAATAAATTAAAAGCCGGCGGGAGGTGATTGACAGATCAAAACAGCGAATCACAGCGCACAGGCTCCGGCTCCCGAGTCCAGCGTCTGTGGTCTGGTCTCGCGGACACCACATAGAGCTGCTGTTTTTCGGCTTTTGTCAGCAACTAAAAGTGTTAGGATCACATCAACTTGAATGAAGTGTGTTATGGGTGTAAACATGTGACACACTATTTGGCCCTAAGAGGAAGAAAGCGGCTCGACTTTTTTCATCTGTTCATCTCATGGATCTATTATAATACCGGTTCATCTGCGACACTTCACTGAGACTGTTCCAGAACTACAGGGACAATGGAACTGGACTTACTCAAAAGCTGATCTGGAAACACGTTATTCCCACGGTAAAAGACGTAACTCGGACCCCCTCGATCTGTAAGTAGTGACGCTAACTCGCTGTATACTTCTGTAAACTAAATAACTAGGGTCTGATTGTGCATCGAGGACATAGGGCTCGATGTGACGGATTGTCATTGGAAAAAGTGTATTCTTATGTATGAAATTACTAAGTACAGGTGATAAACGACAAGAGCGTGATGCTACGTCACCGTGCGGGCGGGGGGAGGCGGGCTCACAGGCAGAGGAGCAGACTCTTCTCTGGATCAGCTCGTTTGAGTCGAGGTGACGTCACCTCTATACAAGAGATGGCTCTAATCTCACAAGCTTTGATTGTTGTGTGGTGTATCACACACATTATTATAACACATGTGCAGAGGATTGAGTGTGAAACATGAAGAAAAACGTGATATAGGACCTTTAAGCAACCAACCATAAGTCCCCATGTTTCAAAGGTCCACGCTGTGTCACCTTTAGTCCTCCATAAACAAGAGCTATTTAAATACACGATCAGGTAAGCAATTCAAACCATGTAATGAGCCTGTGAGAAGTACCATTTCGGTCAGCAAAAATCACACTTTTATGATCCACTCTTGCTATACAAAGCATTGTCCTATAAAAATGACATGTGACCCAGTGGTTTCAAAGCAGACAAAAGATGATATCATCCCAAAGCCAGACAGGAGAACAAGCTAGAAAGTGTCAGGTGGCACCATGATCACAATGTATTATTCCATTCATGTTTGATATCCCATGAATAAATATACTCCAGAGTTACAGTGGGATTGATTGAACCACTGTAGATGGTCGTCAATAAATGTTATTGCTGGTAGGCAGGCACAAGTCAGCTGTAATAACACTAACTGCATTAAAAGTACAAGTCGACACAATTCAACAATCAGTCATAAGGTACATTGCTGAATGATGGTGCTAGGGGGGTTAAACCGTGGAACTCTCTCCCCACTGGACTGAAACTACAGACTAACATGACCATCTTCAGCAGAGAGCTCAAACAGTGGTTAAAATCCAGACAGACTTGTTCTCACGTGTAAACTGTATTGTAATTCTTTTAAATGTATTTTATCTTCTGTAATGTAAAAGCCCCCTGTGAACTAGTGTTGAAAATTAGCACCTGTGCAATAACACTTACAGCAATGCATCTGGTTCGTCCAATGTTATTGTTATGACCATACTAAATAAATAAATACATAAATAGAAATAAAATACCTTCCAAAAGAGTTGGACGAAATTCACAAAACAAGCTAGTTTCTAAGTCTTAATCCACATGATTAAACAAAAAAAAACACTATCGATATATTTAGTTAAGTTAAGTAATGCACACCTACGAACCAGAATAACACACAGGACTGAGATTACAAATGATATAAGAATGTGTATTTAGCTGGAAAAGCCCCTTGAGACTGGTTTGGACATTAGCCATGTTAGCATCTGGCTGCTAACTCTCACGTCATCGCAGAACTTTCCTTTTCGCGGTGCCATTTCTTAAACCACAGACAAATAGGTAACATCTGGATCAATATACTGCCTTTCCCAATAGGACACACAACATAACTGACTACTTAAGTTATGATTACCTCTCCATTGTTTTTAAAAGGATAATAATTCTGTCGCTTTTGCTACCAGCTCCAATGCTAACACTGATTGGCGTTTCTCTTGCTAGCCACGGAGGGAGGGAGTCTGGGAACACCGCGATCCAAGCACACTTCCAGCATCTGTAATGGCTAGGTTTCATAGTCGTGTTTTAGCATTTTTAGCGTCTTACTTACTGTACTTTTGCTTGTGTTTCTGCTGGCATCGGCGCCCGCGGCTCTACTCCTTTCCTTCTTGGCTCTGGCCTTTACTTCCGGTGGGCTGTTTTTCCGGGATCCTCCCCCTGTTGTTGTCACCGGAGCTCGGACCAATGACCGCGAGAAAAGGGCCTTCACTTAGAGGGATGAATCATGCAGCAAATCCGTGGGTAAATAATGCCATCTAGTGCATTGCAGTTGTAGTACAAGTAATTCTTCTTTTTGCGTTCAAATCTATGTTGTTCATTCATCATTCATTAAAGACTGATTGAATGAATGAATATTTTAGAATTTAGTAATACAAGGTAAATATTGTGAATTCTGGAACATCAAGGAACACTTATAAATGCTTCATAAGTGTATTGATTTTTTGTATGTTCAATGAATGTCTGATGAAGGGCCTCAGCCCAATACGTCACATGGTTTGATTATGTGTACATTTTGTTTGGGGTGGTACATTATCATAACAAAATAAACATAGATAGATGATCCGTATCACAGGGCTAGAAGTTTCCAAAATTATTGGTTCACTAAAAAATTCTAAAGCCAAAGACATTCATGGTTTGGACACTCATCTTCTAAAATTATGCAAAGAGTCTTTTATTGCACCAATAACACAAATGGTTAATTTGTCACTCAATCAGGGAGTTGTTCCATCCTCCTGGAAACTGGCCACAGTCGCTCCAATTTTTAAATCTGGTGACAGATCGCAAATATCCAATTATCGACCAATTTCTATACTTCCAGTTGTTTCCAAGATTGTTGAGAGATGGGTAGCAAATATTTTAAATGAACATCTGAACAATAGTTCATCTAGCTTGCATCCCATGCAATTTGGTTTTAGAGCAAACCATTCCACTGAATCAGCAAACAGCTTCTTTATAGAAAATGTAAAAAGTAAATTAGATATATATCCCTGTGTTGGTGCAGTGTTCCTTGATCTTAAAAAGGCATTTGACACTGTCAGCCATGAAATTCTGATAGCAAAATTAACAGACTTCAACTTCTCGCCAGAGGCCATTCAATGGATGAAATCATATTTAGCTTCACGAAAACAATGTGTACATATTGGCAGTGTAAAGTCATCAATCCAGGATGTCCCAGTCGGTGTGCCGCAAGGATCAATACTTGGCCCCCTATTATTCTCACTGTACATAAATGATCTTCCCAAAACATGTACTAATGTGAGTTTTCAAATGTATGCAGATGATGCTGTAATATATACTCATGCAAGGAGCGTTAAGGAAGCAGCTTCCATTCTGACCTCAGCCATGGAACAAGTAAATGACTGGCTATTTAAATCATGCTTGCTTCTAAATTCTAAAAAAACGGTCTGTATGATGTTCTCCAAGCAATCAAAAGTGATGAAAAATTCTGGAGTTTTCTTGAGAGGGGAAGAACTACAACTTGTCACAGAATTCAAGTATCTGGGTCTGACACTCGATTCCACTCTATCTTTTAAAGATCATATAAAAAAACTGGCCAACACCATTAAATTCAACCTTAAAATTTTTAAACAAATCAGGTCTTTTTTAACACTTAATGCAGCCAGAATGTTTCTCCATTCAATGATTTTATCCCATGTTGAATATTGCATCACAAGTTGGTCTCTCACCTCTGTAACCAATTTGAAAATAATTGAATCTCTGTATAAGAGATCTCTTAAAGTTTTTGACAGAAAACCCAATTCATTTCATACATGCAATATTTTAAACAAGCACAATCTTTTAAATTTTGAAAGTTTTATCAACTTTAAGTATGTATGCTTCATCTACAAAGCGCTACATGGACTAGCCCCACCTCCTGTATCGGCCCTATTCAAACCTAGGACTTCAAGTGGCCTGAGGACTAGGGCCTCCTCCAGAGGAGACTGTGAGGTCCCCTTCAGAAAAACTACATTTGGACAGAACACTCTCTCTGTGAGGGCCATGAACATCTGGAACAGTCTCCCTCTGCACTTACGGGAGAGTCCTACACTGGTCACCTTTAAAACTCAAATCAAACAATGGATTAAGAGAAATCAGTCATGTGACCACTAGATTCTGAACTATTCTCTGTGCTAATTGTATTATAGTGTTATTTTGTATTTTATTGTATTGTATTTCGTTATGTATTTTCCTGCCTAGGGACTACGGATGAAAACTAGCTTTGTAGCTATAATCCGGCATATTTACATTTGTTTTATACTGATGTTCATTAATGTGCATTGTCCCTATCAAATAAATAAATAAAATAAAAAAAAAAAGAAGATGTGCTTGTTCATGAAAGTTATGATCCAAAACTGTCAGGAAGAAATAAAACAAAAAATGATTTATTTTGAAATAGATCATAAAAGTGTGGAATGAGCGATGTGAAAGTCTGAAATAATTGTACAATGAAATAATAGGAGAATAAAATAAATGTGGGGGAAATAACAAATTTGTCGATGTTGGGAGTAATTAAAAAATTAAACTAATTTTGCATGTGATTGAAAAACACCTCACACAAGTAAACTTTAATCAATTTGCTTTTATTATGGTTTCATACAAAAGTTGTCAACGTTCTTTTTATTTAACGGATACATTCAAGGCTGAAGAGTAAATGTGAAAAATACAATACAATTTAAAGTCCCTGCAATGGGTTGATGACTAATAACATGCTGTTTTCATTTTATTAGAAAATACTTATGTAATATGTTGCATAGTAAGATTGAGCCTCGTGAGTCATTATCAGATTCTCTGGACTGAGACTTTTCTGTCTGACTTTAGTCTGAAATTATCTAAAGATGTGACAAACTCCAAAAATACATGCATGTGAAAAACTAAGTATTTAAGAGCTCATTAATGGGTTTTATTACATAGGTAATTATTTTATGCTTTGAAAATTAGTTTCCCCAGCTTTAAACATGACAATTTAAATAAATGTTGCTGTGAAAAATTACACACCAAAATACCAAAAATTCCAGACAAGTTTTAGTAGCTGTAAGACACTTTTTCATAGTCAAAATAGACTGGGGAATCATGGAAGCGAACGTAAAAAACTCGTCATTAAATCATGTTGTGACCATATAAAAACAGTCTTCTTTCTGCTGCATCACAACATGAAAAGCTTATATTCAGGCGCGGCCTATTTGGGGACAAACGATACATTCTTTTCAAATTTGCTGGTGGGGCTTATATACAGGTGAGCCCCATAGTCCAGGAAGTAAAGTACTAATTTCCTTCCAAATCTAACAGCGACGTTTGCGCTGCCTCTAAACCCGCTTCACTGTCCACACACACGTCTCTACAGTCCGTCACCAGCCCCAGCAGCGACCCCTGCAACACGTGAGTTTGACTGGAACCGATCAGATTACTTTGCCTCGACGCACCCTGGCTCCTCGTCCATGTCGCCCCAGCAGAAGACAAGGGGCTGAAGGCCGTGTGGATGTGCGGTTGCCCCGTGGGTGTAAGCAACGAATGAATTGGCGTTTGCGTTCCTTGTATATCTGTATTGATGCTTAATGGGGAATGGCTACCAGGGGAACATAGGGGACGCATGGAGCTCATGGTTGGGGTGGTCACGCCGCTGTAACCGGCCTGCATTGGGTAGCTGTTGAAAGCAGATGATAGCCCGAGCAAAGAAGGCCCAGATCGTCTCAGAAAAGGAGAGCTGGATGTTGGAGACGCAAAAGTATTCCCCCTCGTTCCATCGCGGTCGTTGCAGCACAAACAAGGCGACGTGTGGAGGTTTTGTCTCGACGTACTCAGCAAAGTGGGACTCCGGGTTTGGTTTTGGAGACCCGGGCAGGCCCACAGACCTCGGGGAGGGTGTGGGATGGTGTCGTGGTGAAGGTGGAGACCAGTAGAAATGCTCAGAGGGGCAGTGACCGTGGGAGCCGGCATCATCGGGACCCCGCAGGAGAAGGCAGGGGCTGGGGCAGAGCAGTGGAAAGTAGAGGAGTGGGACTGGAGGTAGTGCATGGTGTTCTGGAGCTCTTTGGCCATGGCGGAGACTTCTTGGTTCAAATTACCCAACTAGAAATGTAAAAAGATGGATAAATACTGCACAGATATACATTTTAGCATATCAAGCACACATGAGCTGCTGGGGTTAAGTTAGAAAACAATATTCAAATCAAAGAATGTGGCAACCCCTGCTGCTGTCAGACTGCACAATGAACTACTGAGCCTGCACATGTCATACATCTGTAAAGAAATAAATACTGCAATCATGTGCATCACTGCAATCTCAGAATGCCCACTGAATGTCACTTTATCTTCTTATCCTGCCCTATATGTACTGTATATAAATGTTACACTTTATAGATAGAGACACATAGATATATTTATATTGAAGCATTTACAGCTAGAAACATAGAAGCTACTCATATTGTATATTTTGTGTGCTCTCTGTTTGCTCTTGAAAGTTGTTGACATGGCCATCAACATGGAAATCCACTAAGCGCCTTCAATGCATGGAGTGATACCATCATTGTGCAGGTGTTTTTTTGCCTTTACATTGTTGTTTGCGATTGCTTTGTTTTTGGTGTTTGGTTTGATCTGTTGCTGTCCTGCACCAGGCTGTGTATGTGTGTGTGCATCCAAATGTGCATAGTATGGAAAACAAGAAACAGTGCGGACGTCATGGGTTTGTATAACATATATAAATTGGCATTCTAAATACAGTACATTCAAAGTTTTGTATGTTAATAATAATACATTGTCCTCTATAAATCAAGTACAGAAGTGTAGAAGACATAGTGACTAACAAGGACAAATTAACCCAAAATTAGACTACATGCTTTAGGAGTCCTATATTAGAGCATAGTGTGAAAGAAGCAGAGGAAAGATCAAATCCGACACTGGACAGTACAGGAACGACACAACGATCAGTGATATCCAACTCTGTCCAGGACTAAACACAATGAATGAGAAGCAACACAAAGAAAATAATTATTTGCGAGAAAAAAATATAACTTCACAAAATTCAGAAGGGACAGTTGGGTTGTGTCTAAAATACTTGATCCAGAAGTGTTTTTTTACCTCTTTGCTGAGTTTGCTGATGTTCTGCCTGACTTCCTCGGTCTCCTGCAGCAGACTCGAGTTCACCTCCAGAGAGCCTGAAGCAATGTTCCAAAAGTGAATACTACATATGTTACAATGTCACCTAGCAGAGGACTCCAAACTGGAATATACCAAAGTTTAGCAAGTTTAGCAATACAGTTTTTGAGAAACTTTCACCATCAGTCCAACTTAACTGTGGAGACGTTTGGCGTGTAAATTAAATCATAAATGCAAGAAAAAGCCGTAGACGTAATGACGTAATGCCACCACCATAAAAATCACAAAAAAATTAAAACATGACTTGACTGTAGTTATCTCTGCCTTTATTTATAATGTCGTACTTAAGGTCTGCACTGCTACATTTCTATTATGTGTATTAATAAAAGCTATATAATATAATTTCTTACTTTTTCACAACTTGTTTGCACCATATTGCTGAGCAGATTTCTTGGTTGTGACTTCCTGCTACTTACAATGGCAAAAAAAAAAAAAAAATCTGATTCTGATTTTATACTAAACAAACCTGTTGCATTCGGATTCGTTTGGCTCAGCTCTGCGTTGAACTGAAACGTGTGTTCGTTGTCTTCGATCCCGTCCACCACTCTGCAAAATCAATCAAACTGTTACACCCGCTCTTTAAACATGAGCAAGATAAGATAGACTTTATTGATCTCACACAGGAGAAATTTACATGTCGCATTTGGAAAAGATAGAATCACTCAGATTTGTGCAGAAGACAGAAATGTTAGAGGCAAAAAAATATAGTCAGTTCAGGATATATTATGTACAATAAAAATTCTCAAAACAATGAATTATATAACATCAAGTTTTAACACTAAAACACCCAGAACAGACAATTTGACAACTTTTCGTTTTGGAAGAAAAATGACTCAAGTCATTAATTTATATGTAATTACTTTTATGAAATTATCTTTTATTTTTTAAGTGTGTGGAGTGATGTAGTAGAAATGTCGACTTCTTTATTCATTTTAAAGTAAAATTCAAATTAAATTCTATAGCGTCTTTTCTTGAGGAGCTGGTCCTGGACTGGATCTGGTTCTGATCTGAGCCAGCCAGTTTTTCTGCCAGAGAAGAAAGAGTGCTAGTAACCATAGCAACACCCTGTTTAATTGCCAATGTAAATAAATCTGACCTGGGACTGAGGTTGAGGGGGCTCGCGCAGGCCAGAGATGGCATGAGCAGCGTGGAAGGTCGATACGCAGCAGCTCTATCCAGAGCTTCTTCACAGGAGTGGGAAGTGGGGCTGCAGCCTCGGCCCTGGACCGGAGACCTGCAGAGGCGGAGAGGCTTCTGCTGCAGCTCTGCCCCCAGGAGAGTACTGTAGCGAGTCTGACGCACAGGGCTGCCCACGCCTTTGAGCAGGGACGCCTTCTTCTGCTCCGAGTCGTCGCCGTCGCCACACGCCTCGATGATGAAGGGAAGTTTACGCTGTTGCCAAGCAAGAAAAAAGTCTCAGTTACAGAAATATGTGCTGGTATTGTAAAGATGGAACAAATAAGTATTAACTAAAATAAATGCTGCGTCATTTCATTATCTAACTAGTTCCTCTATCATAATCCATCAAACTAGTTCCTTGCTCAAAACATTTTAGTTCTATCATTATTTAAAAAATCTATGTATTTGTTTGGTCTCATTTTGTCTTTGGATCAGCTTTTTCAGACAAAAAATAGGTAAAAATGCATCGGTTTCATTACAGTGCTCAAAGACGCTTCACATGGTATTATTCATTCACTTCTTACACGGTGGTGATACTACTATTGTAGCCACAGCTGCCCTGTTCCCGGGGACTCGGCATGTTCCATCTTTCACCACAACAAACCAGACTCATTCCAGACACTGTGGGTGAAGTGTCATGACACAATGACAGTATAGTATTGTATATAAATCAGGCCTTTTATGACAATCAATTCAGCAAAAGTGTTCCTACACGCAATGATTATCAAATCCATAGAAACCCTCTTCAAAAAATCCATTATAATTCTGGATCCTTTTGTATTATTATTATTGTGTGACCTGCCTCGGGACTACGGATGTAAATTAGCAGTTTTACTACAATCTGGCACATTTACAATTTGTGTACAACTTGTATATGATTGTTCATCAATGTGTGTTGTCCCGATCAAATAGATAAATAAATAAATTAAATATAGCACTTTACAGCTGCCCCACTGTGGCACCTGATGTCTTCCAGAGGTCTCCCATCACAGTACTAACCAGGCCCTGTCCAGAGGTCTGATGTGTCTGTCACTTTTCTATATTTGCTTTTTCAAACAGAAAATGTCTTTCTTGTGGTCTGGTTTGTTTATGCATTATTTTTTGTCTTTCTGTTGAGGCAAACAAAATGTATTTGAAAAACACCCCAGTTTGGTACCCTTTAACTTGATCATACTTAATGAAAATCAACTTCTGTCCAGTGAAATTGAATATGAAAATCACAGTATGTCTATGACTTGAAATTAACTCTTGAAACTTACAGCTCTTTTTCAACATTAGAATAAGTTGAGCTTATTACTCTGTTCTGTAAATACATCTGCAGCGCACACACATACCTGAGATACCTGTGGTGACCATGGAAACCGGCCTCCCTGAAGAAACAGAAAAACACGACACATTAAACACTCTCTATCTTTAGACAAAGGAAGAACATTAGCTCAGACAATCACTGTGTCTTAATCAAAAGCTTAACTGATTAAAGGAGACATTGTGTAACTAGCTTGGGTAAGTAAGGAAGTCATCTTTATTTGGTGCACTTTGATGGCATTTCACACCTTGCCTAGGGACTACAGTTGGAAACTGGCTGTTAGCTAATACTGACACATTTACAGCAATGTTAATTAATGTGTATCGTCCCTATTCAAATAAACTAATAAATAAATTATTATTATTATTATTTGCAGACCTGTGTCACAAAGCTCATTAAAATAGGGAAAGTTATTGTATAGTAGCAGATAGGTTTGAGATGGACAGTGCAAACGATGTCTTTTTGTCTTTGCCATTTTTTTGTAGTGTATGTGCATATGGTCTTGTCGGTTCTTTGTCTGTGGATATCTATGTAACTTTTGTATTTTAGCCATTTGGCAGTACAAAATGGAGCCAGACTGTGGAACATTCTTCCCACTGACCTAAAACTAAAAAACAGACTTAAACATCTTTACCGGAGGTCTGAAACTTTGGCCTGAAACTGGAAATATGTTGATCACATGTTTAAGGAATTGTATATTTGATGAATCTTTTATTTGTGAATTTTAAATGTCTGCGTTTCTTGATAATAAATCTTGCTATAACACTATAGGCAGTGCATTTTGTCCATCCAATGTACAGTAACTATCAGTGTTGTGCCAGTTCACAGCTTTTCTGAACTAGTTCAAGTTCAGTTTTCAGTTCATACATGCTCAAAGTGAACAGTTCACGTTCAAAGTTCACATTTTTAATTCTGAACTAGTTCAAAGTTCAGTTCATTTTACTTTTTTCGTGAGATACTTAGATATTTTTTTCACACTACGAGCTATATATATATATATATATATATATATATATATATATATATATATATTATTATTTTTTATTTTATTTTTTTAATCTATGAACCTGTTCCATCTGTGTTCTTAATAAAGAATGAATTGAATTGAAATAATATATATATATATATATATATATATATATATATATATATATATATATATATATATATTCCCTATATATATATATATGTCCTCCTGTGGGTGTACAGGAGATATTTACATATATATATATATATATATATATATATATATATATATATATATATATATATATATATATATATATATATATGTGTGTGTAAATATCTCCTGTACACCCACAGGAGGAGGAGAGCCTTTTGACTACAAAACAGACTAGATAAAACAGACAAGATTTACATGGTTTTCAATGGGAGCAAAACGGAGTGGCTCCATCTCTGCTCATAAACTACAGACAGTAATGCGCTGCAGTGCGTGTGTCTATACTTTATGTCAAATGTAAACAGTGTAAACTTTGTCGCTAACTCACCCTGTGTTTACTATTGTATGTATCTCAAGTGGGAATCCTTAATAAATGAATATATATTTCCTCTTTTCCTGTTGTACAGGTCTGTGTGGAGTGTCTTGCGACGGGCCTGGTTGCAGACCACAGAAGAAACCCATGAAGACCTAAACAGTACATGTGAGCCTTAGACAGCTAAAGGCTCACTCCTTCTTCCCTAAACCGCTCTGCTCTGCTGCCCCTGTCTTACCTCGGTGTTGGCCGACTCTCTCAGGTTGTAGGTGAGGTTGTGATGGATGTCGGAGCTGAAGCGGGTTCCATACTCGGGGTACAGCTGGAGCACCTCCTTCAGGGCCCTCATGCTGATGTGCTGCAGGTCACAGTACGTCAGCGCCTTCACGTCAGCGTTGGTCTTTATCACCTCCTCCTGCTCCGGGAGGTCTGCCCCGATCAGGTCGCCTTTACCTGGACACAAGGATAAGAGTAAAACGTTAAGATATTACTTCTGCCAGTTACGGCTTATTTTCCATGTGTCCATCATTTCCATTAATCTTTTTTTCAGACTAAACTTAAATTTGTCCATATTTTTAAAAAATAAATAGCTTTTACAAACAATATATCAAGCCTCTACATGACACAAGAATACCATAAAACATGAAGGAGGATCTTTAAAGACCTTGCTTTCCCTGCCATCCCCGACCAAAGACTCTTTATGGATCGCACTGTTTTTCTTCTGAGATCAGAGAGGTCTGTTATTCTGTCGTATGTTTGAGCAAGGACACTGTAAAATGTAACATTGACCATTACAAAGAAAGATGCCTGCTTTTTCCCCCAATCTATAAGAAAACCTATATTTTACGGGATGTGGTGTTGACTCCAACAGCTAAATGTAGATGAATATTTGATGATGATAAGTCATATTTAACTTTACATTAAAGCTCGTGTACCTAATCTGGAAACAACACATTAATTACAGGTTGGTAATAAAATCCAAACTAGTTCCTATCTCTCAAAACAGTTTGGTTCTCTGACTCTGAAGTCATTTTGACCTCTCTCAATTTAGTTTTTTTAACCCTCACTCAGCCAATAAGCTCTCTGCATATTGTGATCTGAATCAAAATATAATTATAAAACCAAAAATTCTATCCTTAGATTATACCATTCTGCACAGACACACACACATAAACAAACAACTGCACACAATACACACATTTATACCTCTTTTAAACATACAAGTGACATGTTTATACATTTTATATGAACTTTGACCGTACCCAGAATGGCGAGCACCATGCCATCTCGCAGCACCTCGAGCGAGCCGGAGCAGACGTAGTAGTTGGCCTGGAGGGCGTCGCCGTGGCGGATCAGGTACTCTCCCGGGGCGCAGAAGGAGGTCTTGATGTGGAGGGACAGGGAGCGCAGGCAGCCCCGACTGGCTCGCTCGAACACGGGCAGCTGCAGGATGTCTTTGTTCAGGTGCATGGCGATGTCGGCGCGCAGCTCGTCTGGGAAGTCATGGAGGAGCTGCGGATATATTATGTATACAATATATATGTAAATACAGGTTTGAGTTCATGTTGTAGAATTGTAGTTTAGTTGGAGGGCACCAAATACAACTGAAATTTCGGAAAGAAATGTTGAAAAATAAAATGTTTCTCGTGCAGATCAATGTTTGATAGTGACTTCATAAACCTGCCATTTCATTATGTCCAAAAGTCCAGACATAAGACCAAAATCATGCATGTTTTGTTTTGATATCGCCATCCCTTCTAGGCACCTTTATGGCAAAAAACACATAGACTATGCTTGATATGGACTCACAATAAAAGCAATCTAAACTGAGATCAGAAGTCAGACATTACGGAGGAATATCACTGAGTGTGGAAATAGAAATAACTGCAGAGTAATCTATTTATGATGTATTACTGTAACTGACAAACTAAAAATGAAGTATTACTGTTTATCTACTTGGCCATACTGAGCTCATGTAGCTATGCAGAAGTGAAAAATAATAAAAATAATAATAATTATAATATATATGTATCCGCTTATGTATATAGTGGGTGATGCATAACCTGTATATTGTTTTTGTTGTTGTTTGTTTTCTCTTCTTCACATATCTCTTATGTACTAGCTATGTGATTCTGAAGTTAAAGCTCTATATGAACGTATTTTGCTATAATGTACAAATGCAGTTCGCTGTTAAATCTACTTAGATCATTTACTATCACCATTACTTTTACAGAGGGCTAAATCTAAATTAACAGCAACAAGGACAAGACTTAAAAACACCATTGTGGCTGCTTGTTGTCACCATCACTGCTCCTCAACTATACAAAGGATAATGGCAGGTGAGACATGGACCTGTTGGAGAGAAGGGCCCCCCCTCCTCCCAGTGGGTTCATGGATCTCGTCATGTGGCGCATTTTACTGCACAGATTACCAATTAATTTAAACCAATCAATTACTCAGGGCAGCAGGGTTGGGCCGGTTGATTGGGGGCCATTCCCCCCTCCCAGCGGGCCCACACTCTACTTTTTAATGCACCTCACAGAATAGGGCTCACACTATCTCATAGTCCGCTGTAGATGGTGACAACGAAGTGAACGATTATTATTACTAAAATGGTATAAAGGAATAATTAATAATAATATAATAGTTAAAAATCTAAAATAGATTTACATCATTAATAAATCATATAATTATGGTTGTTAATATAATCCATCATTATTGTGACCATTAATAGCATTAAACCCATAACAAGTAACAAATGATCAAGTTAAAAGATTGGTGACTAGTTGTGTTGACAGTGATGGGTATTTGTAATTATTGAAGAAAAGGTTCAAGTTTTCTTTCATTGCCTTGGGATTAGTTGAATATTGTGATGTTTATATTGCTGTTTGTATAGTCACTGGAACATAACAAAATAACTGTCATATCTTTTTGATCATGCAGTAAATGAATGTATTGAATGTATCAAATTCTTCAGTACACAAGGGGTAGGTGCAAACAAGCTTAAGCTTCTGCCTACTCTTTTTGAGCATCATATCCACGCTATTTATTTATTTAATTATTTACGTATTTACTTACGCCTACCTATTTTTGGCTTTGATTACTGTGCTGAACTTTGTATATAAGTAGAACTGTGTGGAACTCAGATGCTCAAATAAAAAAGATGAATTGAATTGAATTGAATTTAATTGAATTACACCATAGACTCTTTGAAACGTTGTGATGTCACACTTGGCACAATGTTTAAGAAGTAAATCATATTTGTTATAAGCTGAATTTAGGGCCGTACCAGAAGTCAAAATTTTTTTTTTGGGTTTTTCAAATATGGTTTTCTGTGAATAATTGTGTGTATCTTGAGCATGTTGAAATAAATAAACACATTAAAGTGATTGTCTGGAGTTTGTCAGAAAGAGAGAGAGAGAGGTACTTGATTTGAAATAAATGACACAAGCTCCCTCCCCCTTCCTTTCTGATTGGTCTACACCTAGTAAGTAAGTAAGTAAGCTTTTATTTATATACCGCCTTTTCACTGCACATCGGAGTCTCAAAGCGGTTTACAATTGTTATTTTTTTGGGAGTGGGGGTGCCAGTACAGGAGGCACATGCCATACCTATTGTACATATTTTTAGTGGTAGGGGAAACCGGAGCACCCGGAGGAAACCTACGCAGACACGGGGAGAACATGCAAACTCCACTCAGAAAGGCCCTGGTCCAACCGGGATTTGAACCCAGGACCTTCTTGCTGAGAGGCGAGAGTGCTATCCACTCAGCCACCGTGCCGCCCACCTACGTTTCCGTAACACTTTTAAATGTTTATCAGAGAACACATTATACATATACATTATTAATACACATGCACAGAGGTTTTCAGAATGATTAGTTAACGTTTTATAAAAAAGCGATCGCAGCAAACCCGGAAGAAGCTATTATCATGAATTGCACATTAGGACACATCTGCAGGGGATCTGATTATGGATATAGGTTCAGTATATAAATGATTATGGATATAGGTTCAGTATATAAATGATTATGGATATAGGTTCAGTATATAAATGATTATGGATATAGGTTCAGTATATAAATGATTATAGATATAGGTTCAGTCTATAAATGATTATGGATATACAGTAGGTTCAGTATATAAATGATTATGGATATACAGTAGGTTCAGTATATAAATGATTATGGATATAGGTTCAGTATATAAATGATTATGGATATAGGTTCAGTATATAAATGAGTAACTCAGCGCGGATGTTCAGAATTCTTTGTTCAGTTTTCATGTAGTTCCAGAGCCTAATGGAGGCTTGATTCGGAGGCTCCGTGAAAACAAACAACTGAGCATGAGCAGCTACGAGCAGCTATAGCTAAGAGAAGGGAAGGCGGGACTTGCCCGTAATACTAGAATTAATAAAATGAAATATTTTATATCAACATTTAAGGCCAGGAGGTCAATTTAACACATTTCCTAGAATTTGTAATTCATTCAGACTATCACTTTAAAATTTAAATAAAAAGTAGTATTTATTAAGGATTTTTTGTTTCACCCCTAAAACAAATCAGAAGACACACCATACTTGTTCTTATACACTTTATAGACAATATAATTCAAGCCTAATATTGTCTTAATAAACAGGTGCCAATTCTGAGACCAGAAGTTACATACAGTACTGTTGGCGCTTGGAGACTATACTGAATCTATCAACTCCTAAAGGTGCCATTCGCAAGGTGCATTTTAAGGATTTCTCCAGCACCTCTGCAGAACTGGATCTAATCAGCCCAGTGTTCAGGAAGTTGCATGATTAATACTCTACTTATGGAAATGGGGTGAGACTCGAGAGACCGGGTGACCTACATTCTGAGTCAGATTGGAAGGTATAGAAGAGTCAAACTGTCAAAATTGTCATTTCTCGTCACCGATGATGGATGGCGAGTCCATTCCATGCCACATAGACCCTACTGAAAATATTCCATTTTGAGTAGTGAGATAATTTCCACATATGTACTGCAAGAATTCATGAAGCTGTACTGGACTGATGCAGGGAATCTCAACCTGAGGGAAGCCACAAGGACCCAACTGAAAATTTTCCAAGTCCTCTGTGATTACACAATAATAAAAATCGAACCACTTAATTCAGATCTCATATGTGAAGTTTATCTCCAGCTCACATCCACCTCCATTAAAAAACTAACGCATTTCACATTTGACTTTTAATACTATTATTAGCCCTTTTTTTTTTTTTTAGAATTATCTATATATTTGTTTTGTTTGTATATATGAATGGGTGCTATTGGACACCTGAATTCCTCCTACAGGGATAAATAAAGTATCCATCTATAATGACCAATTTAGCCTTAAAAATAATAGTTTAATACTTTATATGATGCTATTGTCTTTGCAAATCCAGATGACCATAGTAACCATAGCAAATACTGCAACAGAAAAAGATAATGTACTCCTTCCTTTTGCAGCCCAGTATCGGTCCGCAGACTTGAGAGTTGGGGACCACTGTTGTAGAATACCTGGTGTGCTTTCACATGGGAGAGAAAAGACTTTGGTCTGACCTCGTTGGCGTTGATGCCGTTGTTGACCGACCACGTGGCCTGGAAATACTCGATCATGCGCTGTTTGAGCTGCTGCGGGAGGCGGTGGACGCGGATGAAGTCCTTAAGGTCCTTCATTCTGGTGTGGTACAGCGAGCGGCGTGAGTACATGCGTTGGATGATAGCCGTCACGTTCCCGAACACCACCGCATGCATTAAGGCTGCGGAGAAAACACAACACTTTACATTCTATGGCTACATCCAAGGCCAAACCCTCACAATGACAACTGAAGAGATTTCCGTAGGCATTTTTTGGTTTAAGGCTCAAGGATAATCGACTATTCAGCAAGAAAATAAGCAAAGACAAAATTATTATACCATGGTTAAATGGGCTGACAAAGAAAATTGGACCAAGCTCTAAACTGAGACTAGAGGTCTGACTTTATAATTCAATTCAATGTATTCTTGTATAGCCCTGACCTCGGAGGACTTTACAAAACCATTGAATTCGCCAACATAGTTATGACTTGACTGACTTTAACCTTAGTTGAACATAATAAACACACTTTTTTAATGCATGAGTGAATTAATTATGCAAAACGTGACATGTAAATGTCCCCATTGTGAGATCAATACAGTTTCATCTTATCTTAAGTCTCTTTGAAATATTGTGATGTCATATAAATGCTAGTTAACACAAAGAAAAAAAGAAAATATATGATCAATAACATTATTTAAAAGATTGATTAAAGCAGAGGAAATAAGGCTGTGCCAAAAACCGGAATGTCAACTCTTCGCTATCTCCACAATCCAAATGTGCATGAGACAAGAATGACATTATCCGTCTCCTAATCACACTGTTTTAGAGAAAAATGGTGCCAGCAACAGGCTTCCACAATGTTTGTTTTAAACGTGATTGAACCTAAGACATGTTCACAGCCTGCCTTCACACACGTATATTTACAATGATGGTCATCACGTTCTCAAAGTCCAAGGCCAAACTCTCACAATGATAACTGTAGAGATTTCCGTCATCCACCATTGGGTTTGAGTCAAGGATAATCTTCTATTCAGCAAGAAAATCAGAAACATTCGGAAGTGAGTCGGGCCTCGACCCTGACAATTTGGCACAAACTACTTCTGATAGTTGGGACTGAGATAATGTATTTATTATAATTTTAAGAAAAAACTTTATGGATCTTGCAAGATAAAAAAAAAACTTTTTGGATCTCGCAATGCCATTTAAATCATTTCTGTCCAAATCATAGACTTGCTAAAAGTAAAGTTATCATATGTTAAGTTCTCATGTGTGATATAATTTTTTTTTTACTCTGTTTTTTCTTCCATTTTCTGACGTTGAAAACGGAACCGTTTGTGTTTCATTCACTAATTTAGGCTGGAAAATAATGCTTTAATCACCTACATAAACCTGGTGTTTTTTTCACGCTATTTTCCTTGTAAATCCAAATGACCATATTTAACAATCAAGTGCCTTATATCCCAGAATTATGATCTCAAAGACTACTGTGTTAGCAAGGCAGACCACATTTGGATATGCCTGAAGTATGTATAGTAAATATGTATCAAATACTATAATAAATACTGAAAATGAGAACAATAACCCTCGTCAGGACTTGTTAGTGGGCCCTTCTGGACACGTACCTCCCATGAGCATGATGCTAATGGAAAAGATCTTCTCTGCATCGGTGTTGGCGCAGACGTTGCCGAAGCCCACGCTGGTCAGACTGCTCAGGGTGAAGTAGAGCGAGGCCACGTAGGCGCTGGGAATGGGGGGTCCTCCCATCGAACCGTTGATGAACGGAGTGTCCAGACGCTTCCCCAGCTCCTGCAGCCAACCTGGACAACCGCAGACTCCGCGTGAGGTTCAAGCACAAAGAAATGCATCGCTCTTGCACCATTGAACGTCTGTGTGGTGGTTTTGTGTCTGTGTGGTTTGGTACCATCACAGCCACAGAAAGGAGAGCTCTAAATAAGGTGGTCTACTCTGCGAAATGACAGTGAGCTGTGAGATGCGACTTCTGGAACACCCCAGAATTTTGTAGGTGATGCTTTTATGTGCAGGACGTCATAGTGTGAGTTTGAGTAAGAACAATTTGCAGTGATGAGGTGGAGCGACACGTTTGTGTAGATTTGGGGAAAAAAAGTTTTGAGCGTGGAAGGAGGAAGGAAAAAAACTTCAGGTTTGTTTTTGTTCCATGTGTAATCTTGTAACTTGGTTAAAACTTCAAAATATATACCATGCTTTGCCTTTAAAATGTACTGATATTTTCTAGTTTGCAATAGCTGATCGCAGATGTTACCACGAATCCTGGGCTGTTGTGGGATAGCACAAAGCGAGGATTGGGTGAGGGGTGTAGGGTCAGAGAGTGTTTGGGCCTCTGTCTGGGTGTGTATTGTGTGTTTTTTTTTACCATATGTTATAATTAATCAATCAATCACAATTTATTCATAAAGCGCTTTTCATACAAAAGAAAGTTCTTCACATTCTGGTTAAAAACATTCCCAAAAGCCCATGTCCCGTCAACCCGACCACCCAACAGACCCTCGCAAAACCACATATATGATCAAGTACATCTATGCACACACACACACACACAAAAACTTTCTTTGATTTCGTTCTGTAAAATTGTGTTATACAGGTTGTGAAATAAACGTTTTGACCGAGAGAGAGACATTTCCACCTCAGCCCCTCCTCTCCTTCTGCGGCCCACGTCTCTTTACTGTCTTCTGCTTTTAGCTCTGTCTTATTTGTAACTTCAATCATTTTGGTCCCAAGGCCATATACCTTGGGTGTCGTCGTTGGTTTTCCCAGCTAAATTAAAGTTTTCTCTTCCAGCTCACGTCACAATAGAAAATCGCAGTAATGACTTTTTGGTTGTCTGCCTGTTTGCACTAATGAATAAAATCCATCTCTGGACACTCACCGATGTCCCAGGTAACAGGATCACTGCTCTCAATCTCCATGCGACCAATCACGTACCAGACGCAGGCCATCCAGTGCGCCAGCAGGGCGAAGGCGGTCATGAGCAGAGTCAGGACCACGGCGCTGTACTGGGAATACCGGTCCAGCTTCTGCAGGAGCCGCAAGAGACGCAGCAGCCGCACGGTCTTCAGCAGGTGCACCAGGGAAGTCTGGGAAATGTGAGAGAGGAAAAAGTATATAATGCATTACAGTATGTGGGTTAGTTTTCAATTCAACTTCATTACAGACTCTAAGGTCCAATTTAAAACGTAGAGATAGACAAGACAAATCCTTAAGATTATATACATTGCAATTTCCTGTTTAAGGATACTAAATTATTCCTTAAGAAAAGCGAAAAGCAGGTCTTGGACTATGAAATGATTATGATGAGATAATGCCACTGCTTCGAATTCCAGACACATTTGGCACTTCTTATGCTCATAGTGGGAAATTACATTCTGCTTTTATATTCATACATTTAACTGGAAGCATAACAGGTGCATGGTCTCTGGCTTCTCAGCAAGAAGGTCCTTGCTTTGAATTCTGCTTGGAACAGGGTGTTCTAGTTTTCTATACTACTCTAAACATGGACAATGGGTAAAATCTTCCATCTCTTGTAATCCTGACCAAGCCAAGCATCAACTCCTGCAGATGGGTCCCCAAGCGCTCTATTTTAGGCTTTCCTGACAGAGGCCCTAGTGGCAAAGAACAGGTCAAATACAGACAACAAATTATGGAGACAATAAAGTATAAGACTAAATATAGTTGGAGGCCAAAATGTGATCAGACAGAGACATTAAAAAAGACTATTGGAAGGAATATGTCTCCTTTAAAACCTTTGGTTCATAGTGACATGAGTGAAGGACTAATACGTTACCGGAAAAAAAACTTAATTGAAAAGCCATATTGCGTTTGAGTGAAATGATTCATCCACATCTTGTCTGGGGCCAATGATCTCACCACTGTGATGTTGAACGCATACAGGAGGTCAAACGGCAAAGCGGCGATCAAGTCAATGAAGAACCAGGTGGTGCAGTAGTGGATGTAGATGCAGCGGGGGTTGTAGACCACCTGCCCCGACTGACTGACGTAGGTCGTGCGGAAGTTAAGAATAATGTCTGAAAAAGATAAAAATGAGAATGAGGTTCATTTCCAATTTTTGCTGCGAAAAGCTTCAACAGCTTCAAAAATCCATTTTGATAACGTTTAAATATTGTCATTTTTGAAATCATCTTTTCATGACTGGTATGGAACCAAGTGTGATTTGAAAGTTTCCTTCTTGTTGGACACGTACACTTTCCAGGTGCAAAGTAAAATAGTGTGTGCAGTTTCCCCGCCTGTTTCTATAGGACTTGTGCATGATAAATCAGTTGGCTCCGGTTTTATATTTCAGGAGGTGGTTGTGCAGTATTAAGTGTTTGCCTATAGGGCGTCTGGTAAGTGCCACTGGCCAAACAGAGCTGTGTGTCTTGTGTGTCTTTGGGCAAATGTCTAATATGTGCACAACACCCGTGTGACTACTGACTATACGTTTTAGAGAGTGAGAATCTCTCGCCTCAAAAAGTCATTTTTAGCTTTTTCTCAGGCTCATCAACACCTTTCCTGACTCTGGTGGTTTACTGGTGACAATGCGCTAATTTCCTTGTCAGACAGTGACTTCCAAGCAGGAATGTTAACAATTTTAAAAAGAGAAAGGGCAGAATAGTAAAGTTGTGGACATGTTTGTTGCATAAATGAAGTATTCTGTATTTGCTGATTATGACATAATTTATATTTAACATGTTTGTGCCAGAAGTTCCTGATATTAGCCAGGATGGATCTAAATTTAATGTCAACAGGTCGGTTTGTAATGAGGGAATAATTGACCTACAGTATCTTACTTACTTACTTATATTATACTATATATAATATGTAAATATATACTCCTTATATCTGTTTTTTTCCCCTCAAATACTCAGGGCTATGAGCTTGCGGAAGCTTTCAAAAAATGCAATTCCTTTCTAATCAGCTGTCACCCTGTACACTGAGCACCAGCCTCTCACTGATCCTACTGCAGTCGGTGAATAATGGAGTCAAAATAGGAGGATGGCTTCTCTGTCAGTGATGACATAGCATTGATCTTTCAGTGGGGGCTTCAAGCAAAATGGCGTTACGTGTCTTGCCCAAGGACACAACAACAGCAGACATCAGTGGGCGATGGTAAAGAAGGGCTCATAATGGGCTTGAATCAACAACCTCCAGGCTCAAAGGCCAATGCTCCAACCAACGAGCCACTGCCGCCCCCACAGGACCCTTGACATTCAATGACACATTTATGGAAATTTAACAACATTTATGGACAATGGTCTCTGCCCCTTTTGGACCAATGGCTCTATGTGTTTTTATCATTGCATTTCTTGTGTTTGAACTGTTTGATTTTCTGATCTGTGCTGATGAATTCAACAGTTTTGTAAAGTCCTCTGACTACTGCTCTGATTCATACATTTTTTTTTTAAAGTGATAATCTGGAACTCTAGTTGAATTACACAATTTAAGAATTGTATTAAATTGACCTCCTGGCCTTAAATGTTGATAACAAATAATTCATTTTATGAATTCTAATATTACGGGTAAGTCCCGCCTTCCCTTCTCTTAGCTATAGCTCAGAATCCACGATGCCGTCGAGGTTAACCAATCGAGTCATGCCAAGGGCTGTCAATCATCAGCGCTGATGCTCGTAGCTGCTCATGCTCAGTTGTTTGTTTTCACGGAACCTCCGAATCAAGCCTCTATTAGGCTCTGGAACTACATGAAAACTGAACAAAGAATTCTGAACATCTGCGCTGAGTTACTTATGTATTTACTGAACCTATATCCATAATCATTTATATACTGAACCTATATCCATAATCATTTATATACTGAACCTTGTGTCCTATAATATCATGATAATAGCTACTTCCGGGTTTAACGTGATTGCTTTATTTTCGCATTAAAACATTATTTTTGTCATGAAAACGTGAACAGATAATTCTGAAAACCTCCATGCACATGCATTAATAATGTATATGTATAATGTGTTCTCCGATTAACATTTAAATGGGTTGATTGATTGTTACAGAAACGTAGGCGTAGACCAATCAGAAAGGAAGGGGGAGGGAGCTCGGGTCGTTTCTTTCAAATCATGTACCTCTCTCTCTTTTTTCTGACAAACTCCAGACAATCACCTTAATAACACAATTTGAAAGGTGAAAATCCATTTATTTATTTATTTATTTATTGATTTATTTGATAGGGACAAGTGAACACAATCAACATGTGAAACACTACAACATTTATAGCCAAGGCTAGTTTGCAATGTCCGTCCCTAGGAGGGCTTTTAACACAATTAAAACACATTATACATTATAAAATTCACATTATATAAAAGCAGATGTTCTCCAACTCATTGATGCTCACACACCTGGTTTGTTTTAAGAAATCGCTTTAGTTCATGTTTAAAACCAGCCCAGTCAGAGTTCAGTTTTAGCTGGGGGCTTAAAGAGTTCCAGAGCTTTGCCCCCTGGACCGAGAAGACCGACTGTCCGAATGTGGTTCTCCTGAGGGGCACTTTCACATTCCCGTTAGAGGAGCCCCGTGTGACGGATCTCAGAGGAACTAAGAGAGCACTCAGGACAGCAGGGGCTCGACTGTGCAAACATTTGTACAATAATTTACAATTACAAAATTTAATAAAATTATCAAAACTAAGAAAATGTAGTCTCTGCAACACCTGGCAATGGTGTGTTCTTATTGGCTTTTTGTCCAGTATTTTTATGGCTCTGTTGTAGAGCATTCTTACTGGTTTGATGGAAGAGGCTGTGGCCTGGGACCAGCAGGTGATACAGTAACTTATCTGAGAAAAAATCATGGCGTGTAGAAAGATATTGGCTGCGTTGAAAGGTAAACAATCTCTGATTAGTCTGAAACTATACAAACTTGATTTAGTCCTTTTTACAATCTTGTTAATGTGACTGTCAAATTGCAAGTGAGAGTCCAGAATTAGGCCTAAATATTTGAATTCTCTCACTTGCTCAATGTGTTGCCTGTCAATTGTTAGGGGTAGGTTCTCAGTGGGACGTGTTCTAGATGAAAAACAGACAGATTTTGTTTTACTGACATTTAAAGCAAGACCAGAATTTTGAAACCATTCTGCTACAGCCTCTAGATGGTGCTGTAGCTGTGCAGTAATGGTTTCAATTGTTTTGCCACTCACATATACAACTGCATCGTCTGCATACAGTTGGATACTTGCTCCTGGGCATGCGTTTGGTAAGTCATTAATGTAAAGTGTAAAGAGAAGTGGGCCCAATATTGATCCCTGCGGGACTCCTGATGTTAATGTTAAAAAGGATGACTTTTCGTTATTGATTATTACACACTGTTGTCTCTGTTCCAGATATGTCTTGAACCACTGCAGTGCTGGTTCTTCAAAGTTTAGTCCAGATAGTTTGAGCACAAGGAGATCATGGTCTAGAACGTCAAATGCCTTTTTTAAGTCCAAAAATACTGCTCCAACCATCAAGCCTTTGTCAATGGCTGACTTAAGTTGTTCAATAAAATAACAATTGGCAGTTTCAGTTGAGTACTGTGGCCGAAACCCAAATTGCAGAGGGTGCAGTATGTTGTTGAGGTGTAAAAATGACATTAGCTGGTTTGCTACGGTCTTCTCTAGCACCTTAGAGAAGACCGGCAGAATACTTATTGGCCTGTAGTTGCAAACCTGACTTTTGTCTCCGGATTTGTGAATTGGTATTACCCTCGATTGTTTCCAGACAGTTGGATATTCTCCATGTTTTAGAGAAAGATTTATCAAATCAGTTAGGGGTTTTGCCAATACTTCTTTATTTCGTTTCAGAAATGCTGTGTCAAATTGGAAGAGATCTTTAGTGTAACTGTTGTTTATTTTGTCAATAATTGCCATGACCTCAGACTCAGTAGTTTGTTCTAGGGAAAATGGAAACTGTATTGAGCTAACATTATGCCGAGGTTCCATCCTGGAACCTAAGCAGAAGCTGTTAGTCAATTCTTCAACTGATGAAACAAAATAGCTATTGAAATGGTGAGCAATCTGTTTATTTTCACTTATGAGCTTTTCATCAATTTTGAGTTCAAGTATCTGTGATGGTTTCCCTTTTGGTTTTATAATGTTGTTTATTGTTTTCCACATGGCGGATGGATTTCCTCTGGCCTCATTAATTGTGGAAATATAAAAAGCGTTTCTAGCGATTCTTATATCTTTAGTTACTCTATTTCTTAGATTTTTATACACAGTCATATCAATATTAATTTTGCTTTTGATGGCCTGCTTTAAAGCTAGCCATAGGCCAGTTTGAGGTCACACACTGAGAAGAGTTTGGAGAGATTTGTCATAAAGTTTTAAGTACACAGAGCGTGAGTTACCCAGTATGAAGAGGACCTCCACGGCGATGTCACTGGCCATGGTGCCGTGAGTGACCTGCGTGTGGTGCTCACTGTTGGGGTCGTGGTTCACAAAGCACACGTCGTACGGAACTGTCACCGCCACATAGAAGGTGGCAAGCAGGATGAGCCAGTCCCAGAGGGCTTTGGAGACGCTGTAGTGGAGCAGGATCAGCCGAGACTTCTTCACCGCAGCCACTTTGTACTCGGGCAGCGACGGCTTCTCAAACATGTTCTGGAAATGCATCATATGTGTGTGTCATTTTGAAATTCTGGTCATTCAAAGCTGCATGTGTTCTTGGATCCAAATATTTCTGAAAGCCCATTTTTTAGCATTGAGGTGGAGGGCAGCTGAATAAATATGTCTCGGTAACTATGGTAACGGTCAAAAGTCTGTTTTCTGGTCTAGTTTCGAGCAAAAAATATCTGTATTTCCTGTAACCTGCACAAAACATAACAACGCCACTAAGTTCAACATCTTCTTTTTCAGAACATGTCAACAATATTCTAATTAATTAAGTGTCAAGAAGTGTCCAAGATTTCTTCCCAAAAAGGTTGGAATTGCAACTTCCCTCCAACTGAGATAGAAATCTACGACATATTATTGGGATTGCTATGGAGCTGGTAAGTGTTAACTGGAATTGAAGACTAAAAGAGAGTCTAACTATTTAACTCTTGGCTGTAAAGGTTTAAATATAATATATAATTATGAAAATGTGAATAAGCAGAACTTGCTTTTTGACATACTTTCATTTTGTGTGTGTTTGTTTACCAAATGTAGGCAAGTGTAGTAAATCAGTATTCTGCAATCCTATTTGTTTACGCTCGGTGGTCAATCAGGGTCCAGTTCTTTCCTTTTTTCTTAATTGCCGCTGCCTTTGAACCACAACTGGCTGCTGTTGATGTGTCTGTGGTTAATCCCAAGTATGCAGTATTGTCTAATTGGCCTTTCAAAACCTCTTGGTCAATATATCGCACATGTGTCTCACTGCAGAGCTCTCCATTGGACAGACCAGCACTGGCCACCAAGGAGGGCTTGATTAGACACAAACTTTAGTTAGTTTTCAAACAGAGGACAAATGTGTGAGAAAGTTGAAATACATGTCTCAGTTTTAGGTAATTTTTGGCTATGATACTGTTTTTTTGACTGGGATTGAACTTGTATTAATGATTATGTTTACAAAAGTCAAGGAGTACTTTTTGACAAATAGTTTCAGAAAGTTTTACACCTTTTTTGAATGTTGTTCCAACTGCATAGGTTCAGAGGGTGTAAGGATGGTCATTATAACTCAAACTTGCAGCCCACGGAACCAGATAACCCAGGTATGTACTCAAACACAGAAATTAAGTTTATTATCATTTGTTATGCGCTTGTCTAATGCACATCTGAGTAATATTTGCATTTTACATGGATCAAAAGACAAAGATAGATGTGTTGTTTGTGATAGGACATGTTGCTGCTTCTTAACCAGCATTATATCGAGAACAGAAGAGGTCCCAAGATTGACCCTTGGGGCACTCCGAAAGTCAAAGTCATAATAAATGCAGGTTTCACAAATGTATTCAATAATCTCTCGGCGTGGAACTCACATCGGATAGTTTTTTCTTGCGTCTTTTCTGGAACATGTTGGTGATATGGTGCACTATGGTACGACCTCGATTTTGGACTTGAGCAAAGTGTGAGCGTGGAGTTTTCCTGCTCTGATGAACCGGCTCCGACAGCCCTGGAGAACAACACAGAGTATATACAAAATTTAAGGCCAGGTGCATTTAAAAAGGACAGTTTATTAAACCCTGAAAATTAATTTCTAACCCCTTTCCTTTCTGGATAACCAAGACACACTATTAGGCGCTCTTGTATAGACGCCGCCGTTTCAGCAACTTTTAAAATGCAGTACATTTTGTCCACATATAGGTTGTACTTGAATATAAGCCACTGTTTTTTATGTTGTAATGTATCAGATCAACAACTGTTTTAACAGGTCACAAAATGATTTAATGGCGAGGAGTTTAACAGCGTAACCATTGTTTTCTATGCTGTTACTTATTCCCCAGTCTATTTTGACAATAAACAAGTGTCTTATAGCTACTAAAATAACAAAGTCTACAAACTCTGCTCTTACAAGTCTCCCACAATAAAAATACATATATTAGCCACATGGTCATATAAGCCACATGGTTCAAATAAATTACAGTATCTTAAATCTAAAAGCTATCAAAGTATTCCTCATTGTTAACTGTATCCATGCATCTTTGTTTTTGTCAGTATGCGACCATTTGTAGTGAAGTTCTTGATGAATATATAAATGTTCATTGTCAAAATTAAAACTGGTTAGGGTTATCTCTTTCTGATGGACTCTGTCGACGGCACGCTGAACCGGCTGTCTTACCCTCTGTCTCGGAGAAGTGGTGACTCTTCCCTAACGATTCGCTCACGTCTTTGAACGATAAGAGGTACAAAACCACGTCGCCCTTCTCGTTCTTAATCGGAACGACGTCCAGAAGGCACCAGAACGGGGTACCTGCAAACATCACACATTGATCCAAAATTAGCTCTCCAATCGGTAAAGTAGGATCAGTGCAGAGGGAAAAAAAATTAATAATTTTTCTTGTATTTTTCAATTGATCCTGGCTAATTATTTAAACATGTGTTTGCCTGGATTATTATAATTGTGAAATCCTACACTTTGGACTATTTATTTCACTATTTTGTAAAATAAGTTAAAAACAAAGCAACAGTTTCCTCAAACTACTGGCTTGGGGATTCTTTTTCAATATTGAATCTACTTTCTCACTCTCTGGATTGAAAACAATTTTAGTATTTCAGTGCTGGGTTTACCTACATCCAAAATAGAAAATTACATGTGGGCGGATCATTGACCTTAGCGTTAGCGTTTTGCACACTCAAACAGGCTTTTTCAGTGGGAATCTGGAGCCAACAGAGAACAATGTCACAAGAATAACACCAGCATTACGGAGAAAGCTGAGGGATTTTTGAAGCCCAAATTGATAAATGTAATACACAGTTAGATAGATCAATAGATAGATATTTTTTGATCCCCTGTAGGAGCTAGTTACTGAGCTAGACGAGTATGCTTTTCAATGTAAGTCAATGAGAAGCAAAGTGAGTTGGAGTAAAACTTTGTTCATGAGCACTTCCCTCCCAGACTTCATAGAGCTAGGACGTTGGTCATAAATATACATGTCATGGATAGATGGATAGAGCTTTTGTGTTATCATTAATATACTCGAGACATTTCTGCCTGGGTGTGTGAACGTTCAAGGACATCTGTATCTTTCTTCTTCTCTGCTTTTATCCCGCACCATTTTTCTTGTAGAAGCAGACGTGGGCCTGGTACTCGTGCTGGCCGTCCAGGGCTCGGTGGACCTGCTGCACCACGCCGTCGCTGGTCTCGGCTCCGTGGAGGAAGTTGCAGGAACAAGTCTTCTGCATCACCTCCGTCCTCACAAAACCCGTCAGGTCGCAGAAGCCGTCCGAGCAGTACACGATGGGGTTACCGTGGCGACCCTGGGCGTTCCCCAACAAGAAGTTACTGTCTGGAAAAACAGCATAAGAGATTTCAGAACGCACGCAGAGACTGGCAACGAAAGCTATTAGTTACCGTTGCTAGTTACCATAGCAACTCATTGTTTTCTAGCAGCAGTTAGTATTTGGCCTTTAATCAAACTGTCTCGGGGATTTTTGAAGTTATTTTCACCAGTGTTTGCACTTATTGAAGTGAGGTAAAGGTAAAAATAAAAAAAAATACTTTCTGTGGCCCTATTTGACAACAGTGTCCTTACTTTGTCCTGGTTTTATATACATGTAGTAATCATTGTTTAATTATCTTTATGTAGCTAGTCCTCTCGGTGGGAAACATACTAACCCTTTTTAGAGATTTTTGTAGTTACAGAATTGTGGGAGCCCTTGTGTTAAAAGCCATTTACCTAATGATGGACACACTTAAGCACATTCAGTAGTAAAGGTGGAGGAGGGGGTGGTGGTGGGGGTGGGTTTACCAGCGGGACTAAATATAGCCTGCTGTGGGAGTCCAGTCCTGACACGGAGGATCCTAATTAGATCATTATCACTTAGTTTCTATTGGCTTTGTTCAGCTCTGAGAAAAAGATGTTGTCATATTCTGGAGTAGGGCAAAACTCAGTAGTTGGATCCACATGCATTTTATTAGTTCTATTAACGCAATAAGCCACAAACTGCAAATGTTTATATGTAAAATCATCGAGAGTTGTCTTTCAACCTTAAAACTCATCATCTACAGTGAAAGTAAATAAAACAACATCTAAATATATCTTTTCATAGTATTTTGGATACGAATTAAATTATAACAGAAATTAACATTATTATTTTTATGTGATAGCAAAGCCCTATCTCAATGTTTTTTTTGTTGATATATTCAATTTAATTATTCAAGCTGATTCCACCATATGTCAACAAAATATGTGATCCTAAATACAGTAGGTCCATGTTATAATGAGCCATGTGTTGATGCAATATACCGAAATTGGGCAATAAGTGCAATTTGCAGTAGTGACAACATTAGCTTGAATTACAATATATTTTTTATATTTTACTTTTTATATATTATATTTTTTTACCTCTCATTCAGCCTCACACTGTTGATAAATATAAACAAGATGCTTTTTAAGATGCTGCATACGTTCAAAGGTCAAAATGACAACAATAAATGCCTACAAAACAGGACACAAAAAACCCGACCATCTTGCACTTTGGAAAACCTTAAGTGCAGTATGTTATTGCACTAACCCTAAACCGAAAGTGCATTTATGTTATTGCACTTACTCTAAACCTTAAGTGCAGTATGTTATTGCACCTACCCTATTTTGTTATGCTTAGTAACACAAAACATTGATTATGTGTCTAATTGCACAGACCCTGGATGAACTTGTTGATCGGTCCCAGCTTTTTGTCCCAACAGAGAAAGACATTACTCACACCGACGACCAAACAAGGATAATATTTCATGTTTACCTTTTCCCATTATCTACCAGTATAGACAATAGTGAGCACCTGCCTCCAGTATACGTCCTCAGATCTGTATTTAAACAGACACACCGAGCACACACACACACACACACACACACACCAGCTCTCACCCCTGTGGAGGCCAATGCTGTAGAGATGTGTGATACCAGCTTTGTTATCAAATGCCCTTCCGACAAGAGAGAATATGAATTACAGTATATGTATATACAGCGGACAGAGTTAAATAGTATCTACAAAAATCTTATAAAAACCATGTTGTTCATGTCTCTTGTTGGACCAATCACACTATTGTTTCACAATGTCTTTCTTTTGTCTTTCTCGTTGTGTGTCCTCTCCTGTATTTTCTTATATTTGATCTTTTTGAAACTTTATGCTGTGATGACTGTTGTTATTAACTTGTAATTGTTTCATGCTGATTGTGCAGAAATGTGTAAACAGTGTTTTTGAAAAGTGCTCTAAAAAATAAAGATGTATCATTTATTTATTTATCATTATTGAAAAACATTTTGGAAACATATCTGACCGCCAAGATACAGCAAAAACACAGATAAATCTATTTTCACCGTTTGTGGACAGGGGTCATCCTGCTCCGTGTGGTTCAATGGCTTCTATGTGTTTATTAATACAGTTTCTTCAGTCGTTTTGGTGATTTTCTCTGATCAGAATGAAAGTTCTCACAACTATTATAGTGAATGGATGGTGTTGGTTGGAGCTGATGGTCCAGTGTGTTCGGCGACTCGCTTCCGTCATCACCGTGTGTGGAATGATTGGAACAATATCTGAAATCTGAACATCGTAAAGCGCTTTGGGTGACTTTGGTCTGTAAAATGCGCTATATAAATAAACATTACTTACTTACTTACTAACCATAATGCTATTTCTTACTGTATGTTTGTTCTAAATACTGTAAGTGACAGTTTTTTTTGTTTTTTATAACACAGTGCTGTAGAACTGCAAAGAGCATGTGCAGTAAATATGTGACTTACTGTACATACTGTATGTGTTTTGTACCGAGTTACTTCACTAATTACAGTCATGTGTAACTTTACTGTAGTTTCAAACAGCCGTGCATGCCGTTTAAAGTATCACCAAGATCTGACTTTTTTTCACTGAAAACACAGAGAGTGTAAAGTGAGTAAAATAAAAACGTGCTGTTCATACTCAATGGTGTCAGGACTTATTATTTTGATGACACACGCAGTTTCGTTGACATGAATACTATCTTTAGAGGATTTAACTTTTCATTTTGAGAAAGTGACGCACTTTGGCAGATTTTGCACGAGGTTTTGCAGTTTGTACTAATTATTCTGAGACATGCGCTATTTGTTGTGAAAATGTGATGAGTGATGTAAGTAATGCACCAAGCAAGCGACTGAGAAAAATTGCAAATGGAATGGAATTGAAATGAATTGAACAAATAGATAGATAATAGATAAATAGATAGATACTGTAGATAGATAGATAGGAGATAGATAAATCTTTTCATCCATCCTTCTATAAATGCTTTGGCGCTACTTTGTTGCAAGACTTCATTTGGACATAATTGTTTCTTCGTCTCCTTTAAAGCGTTTCGACAGCATCCCTCAGCTCGTATCCAACGTTTGCTTCCACCTCCTCACGCCACTAAACACCAACAGTAATGAGCTCACATGTCAGGATCTGCGGCTAATCTGACAAACTATAAACAGAACGAGATTTCTCACTTTTCAGTTGCCATAGAGATTGGTGTGAAAGAAAGATAAAACATATGCGCTGCTCCGGGGTGCGACTTTGCCCTTTAGTTCAGCTGCATATGCTCCAGCCTCCTCCAGCTTGTTGACTATTGGACTCCTACATAGATTACAAACAAAGACAATAGTGGACGGATGATCAATAAGGTCTGGCCTTTGATCGAAGGACTGGTACAAATAATAAATCACAACATATTGCCCTAAAAATGCTTTGTTATGTGTTTCTGTGTAACACTTATGGGGACTGTCTATGGCTTCTATAACACTCTTGTGGGTTTGTTTGAATTACTTCCTGTCCTTTGCCCCACGTTGGATTGTCCCCCAATGTGTTTCTCCTGTGTCTTTTTATTTTTTTGAGAGATCCATCGATTATCTTCCCCTTAATCCATTTCTGGGTCGGGGGGGTGGCAGTCAGAGCTGCACCCAGTTCACAGAGCACCAGCCCCTCACTGATCCTCCTGCAGGTGGTGAGTCCACAGGAGCTTAGATCTTCCAGTGGGGGCTTTGGGCAAAGTGGGGTTAAGTGTCTTGCCCAAGGACACAACGACAGCAGACATCAGTGGGAGTCGTGAAGTTCGAACTCGTTTCGAACCCACAACCTTCAGGCCCAAATGCCGTTGCTCTACCAACTGAGCTATTGTCGCCCAGCTGTAGCTACCTGAAACACACAGACCCCACGCGCTTCCTGTTGCTTTTCTTGACCTAAAAAAAAAACCTTCAGGGGTACTTAAAGGTGCTATTTTACGCTGTTTGACTTTTCTCTGCTTTGAACATGATTCCAGTGTAATTTGGCCTTACACACATTCACATTTCATTGATTCCCTCAAGCTTTTGTTAGAGAGCAATCTTCCACATCTTGACAACAACATGACAAGTTCAACATCCAAGACACAGCCAGCTCTCGAGTCCAGCGTATGTCTGTGGTATGGTCTATAGTATAGTCTATGGTATGGTCTATAGTATGGTCAATGGTATGGTCTATAGGATAGTCTATGGTTTGGTCTATAGTATGGTCTATAGTATAGTCTATGGTATGGTCTATGGTATGGTCTATAGGATAGTCTATGGTATGGTCTATGGTATGGTCTATAGGATAGTCTATGGTTTGGTCTATAGTATGGTCTATAGTATAGTCTATGGTATGGTCTATGGTATGGTCTATAGGATAGTCTATGGTATGGTCTATGGTATGGTCTATAGGATAGTCTATGGTTTGGTCTATAGTATGGTCTATAGTATGGTCTTTTGTATGGTCTGGTATGGTCTGTGATATGGTTGATGTGTTTTTGGTGTAAATTTGTGACGCACTCTTTGGCCCGAAGAGGAAGAATGCGGCTCGACTTTTTTTTCCACAGGGAACTACCTCTATAATCCACCATGAATGTGTTCATCTGCAACACTTCACTAAGACTGTTCCAGAACTACAGTTACCTTTGAACTGGACTTCCAATCGAAAGGACTTTACAAAGTTTTCAATTCACCAACAACAGATCAGCAAATCAAACGGTTGCAACACTGGAAATGCAACAATAACAAACTATTGGATCATATAGGGGGCGGATGACCAATGGCCATAAAGATTAAGATGAAGAGATCCTTTATGCGTCCCAAAGTTGGGAAGTTCAGTGTTGCATCACAAGTTACAGAACATTAGGAAGAGGGAGCACACAGCACAAGATAAATGAATAAGAAACTCTATACTTAAACATCAAGAAATCTCTAACTGTAGTAAAAAAAATAAGCAGTATAAAATGTCCCGGGTCATCACTCTCCTTAGCCCTCCTTAGGGATAAAAGTCGAGATTTTTGGAGACAATGTGGGGAGAAAATCAGCTGTATATAGAAAATGTCCTGGCGTGATGAGCTCATAGTAATTTCAGAGTACCTCGGAATTACAAAGGGTTGGAAGAAGTCATGAGGAGATAATCGATCTCATTAAGACATAATTATCTAATCAGACAGCCTGGGTATTGCACAGGTGTTTCTTAGGCCCTGTTTATACGGAGACGCTGCGGAGACGGTGCAAAGCAATTAGCAAAAACAATGGAAAGCAATGTAGTTCTAGCACCCGGCCAGTAGGGGGCAGTGGAACTTTAGAACATGACACCCTAGTATAATCACTTCCTCAACAACATCCTCCTCAGGTCACAGCAAAGACATGAAGCAACAAAAAAGTCGATATTTGTGGAGGAAAGATCATCAATCTTGTGCCAGCTTTCAGAAATAGACATAAAAACCCAGATAAATAAGCGGGCCATTAATCTATATTCTTTGTCGTTTTAATATGTTTTGTGAAAGGTTGCATAACACTCATATACATCAAAAAGCCAGGTTTGAAGCCGTGTGTATTCGTTTGCTCCTCGATAAATGTCACAATAGCAGCGTAACGAGGTTTCCCTTCTTTATGCCGCCGACCCCCGTGTTTAAGAGCCGTGCTTCCTCCTGCACTTATCGTCTCCATGGGAACAGACTTGCCTCGACGCCGTCCGATAAAAATCATAATTCTCACACATGAATCATTTATTCTGCCGCTTCTGCTATTCTGCTTAATGTTCAATCAGAATCAGAATCTTGTCACTGTGGGAAATTGCTTTGGCTCTCGGTGCAAACAAGTTATCAAAGTAACAAAATTGAATGAAGCCTGCATAAAAAAAATACAAAAATGGACATAATATTTATTGAAATTATACAAGCGCATTAAGTACACACATTAAAAATATTAAAATGGGTGAATTTTTGACACAAACAGAAGAAAAAGCATTGAGACTTACTATAGCACCTTGAGATTGTGTTTGCATATGTAAGGCGGGTCATAAATAAAATGCATTATTATTATTGTTATTGTTGTTATTATTGTTGACTTAGCATTATTAAAGTGACAGTACTGTAGGTAATATGTACTCTGTGGTCTAATAAAGTCCATCCATCCATCCATTTTCTACCCTTTAATCCATTTCTGGGTCAGGGGGGTGGCAATCAGAGATGCCACCCAAGTCTCATAGCACCAGCCCCTCACTGACCCTCTGCAGGTGGTGAGTCCACAGGAGGAAGGCTGCTCTCTGAGTGTGAGCATAGCCTTGATCTTTCAGTGGGGGCTTTGGGCAAAGTGGGGTTAAGTGTCTTGATTAGTGTCTAATAAAGTCATTCTCTTTTAGTACAATCACTCTTACGTTTCCAGAATGTTCCTGCGGTGACACATGTGCAGGGGGTGCCGGGGGGGATTTCAATGTTGCAGCGCACACACAGGACAGTAGAAAGAGCACACAGAACATACAACGTAAGTAGCTAACGAGCACTGATTACTGATGCAATCCACCCGCTGGAGTTTAGCTAGAAACTATTCAAGCTGTGTATATGACGTAACTTGATTTTGGAATTTTGAGTATGTGTGGTGCTGTTTGTTTTTGTGTGAATTTTGTTGTTTAAAATAGATAGATAGATAGATAGAGTGAGAGAGAGAGAGAGAGAGAGATAGACAGAGAGCGATAGATAGATACTTTATTGATCCCCGTAGGAGAAATTCAGGTGTCCAGTAGCAGCAAAAATAAAAAAATAAAAAATAACATTCTTAAGAGCAGTTAATAAGAGCAATGGGCTCCTATCACTATGCTGCCAAACAGAACGTTTCAAGAGATCCTTTGTTCCTTCGGCTGTCAGACTGTACAACAAACCTGACTGACTGTGCAACAACAAAAAATTGTCTTCTGCTGCTGGACACCTGAATTTCTCCTGCGGTAAAGTCTATCTATCTATTCAAACTGGCACCCCAAAGGAATGCCTCATTCTGCTCTCTGATTGGATAAAGATTTGTGGCATTGTGTCCTGCAGGTTAGAAATAAATCTAAATCTGCTGTAAATGTAAACATAAATAATAGAGATATTTAATCGAGAATAATTTAAGTTCAAACTATTGTTCAAACAAGGTTAAATATGACCTGTTATCTGGGGACACATTACATGCAGCCCCTTCTTATTTTGTAGTATCATTATCATTTTTGTATGAAATGATCTTTTCTCTGTAAATTGTTTTGTATGTTTGTATTTATGTTTAGGACCCCCTCAAAAACTAAATTATTAATCTCAAAGATCTTTCCTAAAATTAACTTGAATTTATGCTTAAAACTTAATAATACTATTTCAAAAGTAATGTTGATTATGTTAGAGCCAGTGCAGCAGAAATTATCCTTAAATACTTCCATAGCTAGAATTTCATTTGCCTTTGTCTTTTTAAGTGTTTTTCCTTGACATTTTTTAGGCAATTAAGGCTGGTCTTACTTACCCCAAAACTGCATATTAACTAAATACATTATTTTATCTTATTTTACACCAACAGCAGCAGCAGAATTGTTGACTGAAGCAACGGCAGATTAAAAAACACATAGAAATACAACAATAAAACACCTGTAAGTGATTGTTGACGGTTTAACCATTGTCCATAACCACCACAGTCCTTTGACTCTCAAATGCATTTATCTGAAGAGTAAAATTTAAATGATAAAGCAAATATAATTACTGAAACACATGGAAAAAAGTGCAATTAATCTATAATGAAGAAGTATAGAGCTGTACTAAACCACGTCTATATTTGAAAAGTGAATAAAAGGCTTAAAATGGATCAAAATTTACCTTGTGGCAAATTATATCAGCATATTACTGGATATTGGGGATATAGGAGGGTCTAAGGAAAGTGATAATCTAGGACTTTTTATGCGTATTGGTCGACCTGTTTTCTATTGACTTTGTAAAGTTCTCCGAGACGACCGTTGAATTGAAAAACTCAAACTACCGAGGCTAACGACTTTACAACCATCTTAAAGAAAAGTAGTAGATCTATCAATTGCCTTCACATTTCCAGCCTCACCATTGCACAGAAATACTTACGAGTCCCATCAAAGTGGTTGGCGATGTTGTCCAGGAACGTGTTCTGGGGAGCGAGGAGACCCTTCATCACCGGCATCTTGACTTTGGAGTTTTCCCGAGTGAAAATTCAACACAAAAAGGTTTTAAATTGTGCATTAGAAACTGCAAAAACGCACTGACAAAGGCGTCCAGTTGTTCCAGGGGATGTTCGCAGCTCTGAGCATCTCTCACTACTCTCTCTACTCTCCTCCTCTCCCTCTCCTCCTCCTCTTCCTCCCCTCCTCTCCCCTCCCCTCCCCCGTTGGTGAAATCCACTCCTGCCGTTCGCACTGTCACCTCACACATTCAGATTGTACACCTCCGATTGAACGAAGCCTGAGTAGACAGGCTGTCTGAAAACACCATTCCCAGGGCGGTTCCAGACACAACGCAAAAATAAATATGAATTATTTTTAGACATAAACAAGGATCATGAAATGTGTTTTGTCATTCATGTTCTAGGACGTAAAATATTGTCTAATGAGTAGAAAATATATGGTGAAACAAGCTTTCAGGGTAATCAATGCTAATGGTCTGCCATATCCATAAGTCTAATTTCTCTAGGTCAAACACTAGAATTCCCAGAGCAGTCAATTTGACAGCTTTTAGTTTAGGAAGTGTAAGTACTCAGCCTTACTGTGACTTTTGCTGTTTCCATGTGGTTATTTCCATGTGATTATTTTTTACAACATAATCTACTTATACTTTGGAATGCGCTGAAACAGTTGCTTTTGTGTTCTTTTTTGATGCAGTACAATGTTCATGGTTTTACACTGGTCCAGACCAGAGCAGAGAGGATTCATGGTCCGAAACAAGCAGATCAGGAGAAAATCCACTGAAAGAATGCTAACTTTTTGAAAAATGCTAATGAAGTATTCAGCATTTTACTTTGGACTAGAGCAGAGAAAGTGCTCCGAACAAAGCGGCTCCACCTCTGCTGCTGTGACCTGAAGGGCTGTTGATTATAATTACTATTGTTAGATACTTTTTAGAATAATCAAATCAAATCATGTTTCTTTATTTCGAGCAAATCAGTGTGCAAGAAACAAAAGTAGAATATCAAAATTATCAAAATTCTGCATACATAAACCTGAGACCCTAACCCTTACATTTACATAACACAAAATTATGAATATTACATGCACAAGAGCAACACTTGCAGATACTCAAAAAGGAGTGGGAGAAAGAAAAACACTTATTTCATCCCACCCCTGATGTCTTAAAACACATTACTCATTGAGCTTACTGTATGCTCCAGTACAAAATCAAAGAGAATGGTAATTATCAATTTCATTTTTTAAATTGAATTTGAATTTCACCTACAGGGATCAATAAAGAATCTATCGACAGTTACTCCCAGAATGTGAATGTAAAAATCAAATGTAGCCATTTTTGGAGGTAACCTTTCAACTAACTGTTTTTTCAGTTTCTGAAAAAAAGTCTTAGCACTTATTAAAAATGACTAAAGGTGAACATCTTTTACAATTGAAAACTACAACTAACTAAAACTAAAACTACTACAACTACTGACCCACTTTTTCTATTGAAAACTGAAAACTATTGATTTAAACAGGAGTCAAAATGGTGGCTCTGGGAGTTCTAATGTTATAACTCAGAATCAGAATCAGGATAATTTTTATTGCCACGTAAGTAACAGTCAGAGAGAGATAATAAAAAATAAAGAATAAAAAACAGTTCTAAGGAATAAATTTAAATTTAAAATAGAGTTACAGTTACTATTTACAATATACAAGTGCACATGGTGCACACAATGTAAGGTGACAGCAGTACAGTGAAGTAAAGTGACGTATGATGGGCAGTAAAGTGACTTTATAAAGGGCGGGGGGACAGGTTAAGAAGTGTTCAAGAGTCCAACAGCAGAGGGGAAGAAACTGTTCTTGTGGCGGGAGGTTCTAGTCCTGATGGACCGCAGCCTCCTGCCTGAGGGGAGTGGTTGGAATAGTCCATGTGCAGGGTGAGAGGGGTCGGCTGTGATACGACCAGCCCGGCCTCGAGCTCGGGCGACGTACAGGTCCTGCAGCGATGGAAGGCTGCGGCTGATCACTTCCTCTGCAGAGCGCACAATGCGCTGTAGTCTCTGTTTGTCCCTGACTGTGGCTCCAGCGAACCACACGGTGACGGAGGAGGTGAGGATGGACTCGATGATGGCCGTGTAGAACTGCACCAACATCTGTGCAGGCAGCTTGGCTTTCCTGAGCTGCCGCAGGAAGTACATCCTCTGCTGGGCCTTCTTGATGAGGGAGCTGATGGTCGGCTCCCACTTGAGGTCCTGGGTGATGGTGGTGCCCAGGAAACGGAAGGACTCCACAGAGGTGATGGGGGAGTCCATCACGGAGGGTGGGGGCGGGGGGACAGTGCTCTTCCTGAAGTCCACAATCATCTCCACTGTCTTCTGGGCGTTCAGCTCCAGGTTGTTACCACTGCACCAGGACACAAGCCGGTCCACCTCCCTCCTGTAGGCGGACTCATCGTTGTTGGAGATGAGTCCAATGAGGGTGGTGTCGTCCGCGAACTTGATCAGCTTCACGGAGTCGTGGCTGGAGGTGCAGTGGTTGGTGTACAGGGAGAAGAGCAGGGGAGAAAGAACACAGCCCTGTGGGGCGCCTGTATTTATAATCCAAGAGTCCGAGACATTCTTCCCCAGACGCCCTCGCTGCTTACTGTCCGTCAGGAAGTCAGTGATCCACCTGCAGGTGGAATCGGGCACGTTGAGCTGGGAGAGCTTGTCCTGGAGCAGGGATGGCAGGATCGTGTTGAAGGCAGAGCTGAAGTCCACGAACAGGACCCTGGCGTAGGTCCCCGGGGAGTCCAGGTGCTGTAGGATGTGGTGGAGGGCCAGGTTGATGGCGTCGTCTACAGATCTGTTGGCTCTGTAGGCGAACTGCAGGGGGTCCAGGAGGGGGGAGGTGAAGGACTTGAGATGGGAGAGGACAAGGTGCTCAAATGACTTCATGACGACAGACGTAAGTGCTACAGGTCTGTAGTCGTTGAGTCCTGTGATCCTGGGCTTCTTCGGGACGGGGACAATGATGGAGGATTTGAAGCAGGCCGGGACATGGCAGGACTGCAGAGAGGAGTTGAGCTGTAGGGGTAATTGAAGTCGATATCACACATATCTTAAGTTATTCATTTGATATTGGAGAATTGGATCAAAAACAATTTTGATCCATTTTTCCGATATCAAATGAATAACTTAAGTTATGTGTGATATTAACATCAATGACCCCTACATAGCTAATAACTCTTTATGGAGAGAAAATAAAACTAATTTATGAAATGATAAAAAGTTCACAAAATCTGAAAGCTCGAGCGACAGTTCACTCACGGGGAAGATCGATCAAGGACAAAGTCAAATGATGAGTTTTAATAGAAGCTTGAGGTCACATCACTGCTGCTGAAGGATGTATTAAATAAATGATGTAAGTCTTTTTCGTGTGCTAATATCTGCAGAGAACCTTCAAAAATACGCCAGATTTCATGATTCAATGAAACAGGAACAAAAAGAAAATGGATTCTCTCTTTTCAGTGACCAGCAGAGATGTACAGTGTGTTTATTATCTAATCTAATCTGTTGTAAATAACTGGACAATAGGACAGACATGCAAGCTTTTTCATCTATCTAGTTTTAATCTGGTTTATATCTCCCTGTGACAAAAGACAGTATAAAGCTTAGAGCGGTGTGTGTTTATCTACAGCAGAGGAGCTCCATCTTGAGGTCTGTTTCCTCACAACACGTCCTCATAGTGACCTTCTATCATCAGCTGACTAACATATTATTCAGCTATTGACTTCCCCTGTCTCCATGACGATGTCTTTCTTTACAAAGTGAACAAATTCGCATTATATATGAGCTCATGTTGATCCCTCGATCTTCAGAATATGTACTTACCTGTTTCATTTTGTAGAAGCATTTCTTAAATCTCAGGAACTTACAATGCCAAACTTGCGTGTGAAAGTCAGATCCTGTCAGACATCTGAAGCTGCACAGGACAGGGCCTGGTTAGTACTGTGATGGGAGACCTTTGGGAACACCAGGTGCCACAGTGCGGCGGCTGTGGCTGAACACGGATAAAATGTGGATGTGTCCTTAGGCAAGACACTTCACCCACATTACCTAGAAGTGTCTTGCCTATGGACACAGAGGGTCTGGTGTATGTGTGAATGGCTGGTGGTGGTGGAGGGATTTCTTTGCTTCAGCCCATTTTCACAGTAGGAGTTTATCACCACCGTTTATGGAGCTGAAGTGTCTTTGAGTGTCCATAAAGGCGCAAAATAAATCTGATGCATTATCATATGTATATATATATATATTTTTTTTTTTTGGATGGTCAATAACACATGTTTCAAAATTAAAATGTTGAACAAATTAAACTACAACATGCGGTAATCTTTATCGTTAAACATGTTATATTCTATGTTCCGTGTGAGTCACTATTTGACTCTTTGGACTGAGAGCTGATTGGCTGAGAGAGGGTGGACCGTTGTTTTTTCAACTTTTCGGCTTGAGGAAAGCATCTGTACAGCCTGGTTACAAAGTTACCTGGTATAGTTGTCTGCGTTAAAATAAACTTTTTTTCCCCCCGTTAATGGTAAGAGAATGATCCTTCCTTTGCTGTAGCTGTTTGGATATAGTCAAATGGCTCTTGCATTTCAATTTGGAGAGACGAGATAACAGAAACTTTTGAGTATTTTATTGAGAGGAGGTTTGGCACCCTAGGCCCCGGTGCGGCCTTCAGTCGGAGAGGCTCCTGCGATGGAGCGCGCAAAAAAATCCCCCGGGACCTAGGCACTGGTGGCGGCATTTGGCAGCGGGCGGCAGATTGAAGGCAGATTGGAGGCAGGGTGAAGAGGAGGAGGAGGGGAGGCGGTGGTTGCAAGGCTTCGAGAGGCCGTGAAGTGGGAGTTTCTCCGCTTTTAAGCGGCTGGCCTGGCCGGTACGGATGATTGGAAGGGGGCGTTTGCTGTGCGATAGGCTGGGGATGCGAACCGGCCTGGAGGGGGTAGCTTTGGCTGACGTCTACCAAATTGAATTTCCGCGGGCTGCATTTCTAATAATTCCATTATTTGTAAAATCTATTGCAAAAAACTTAGATAAACAGTATGTCTCAACTAACTTTCTCTTAAGAGTGAAATGTTGCACTTGGTCACTATCCTCGGATGGTAAAGATATAAAAAGTTCATCCCTAGGAATCGTCTTGCAGTCCGTTACATCACTGCGCCACAGACTCTTAAACACAGAATATAAAAAACCCCGAAAGCATTCTCACTTTTATTCAACTACAGTGTCTTGGCAATTCCTCCCTAACTTCAATGAACGGATCAGAAATATCTCTCTCAATCACAGAGTATTGATTGGACAGAACCAGAGAGAAATATGTTTTATATGCCAAAGCAAGTGTCAGTTAATATAAAGTCAAAATTAGAAATATAAAAATATAACATATTCTTATTCTAGTTTGTTTTTACTGCACAAAATGACACCAGTTGAACACGCAATGTCATGTTTATTAAAAAGACATTTCTTATTTTGAATGAGAAAAGCAGCGTGTTTAATTGACAATTCTTGTTTGTAAAATCAACCTAAACATATTTTCTTTCCAGTCCATTTCGAGCCGTTTTGAGCGGAAACAAATGTACAGGAAGATATATTTGTAAATATATCACCTCATGGTGAGACTGTTAAATATTGCTTATAAGTACTGTATAAGCAATGTTTTTGCACTAAATGGCCGCACCTGATTATAAGGTGCATTATTTATTATTATTTATTTCAAAGCCTGCACAAGAAACACATTTTATTATGTAAATTTGTCAAATTATTCCTTTATTTTCTCATATCAGGTGCACTGGATTATGAGACGCAATGTTGAAATGAATGTCTTCTATGTGCACCTAATTGTGCGAAAAATATGGTATATCTTTGTATCCGTGCATCTGTATGTGCTGTTGTAATAGCGCATGTGTGTGTATAGGTGTGTATGTATCTGTGTACATGTGTACGTGTACGTACGTGTGCAAATAAATGTATGCCATCCATCCATCCATCCATTTTCTACCCCTTAATCCATTTCTGGGTCGGGGGAGGGTTGGCCAGAGATGACACCCAGTACACAGAGCACCAGCCCCTCACTGATCCTCCTGCAGGTGGTGAGTCCACAGGAGGATGACCATATAGAAGTACAGTATGTACAGTATGTGTATATGTAATCATGTTTGTATACAATATGTGCAGTAGGCAAAATTATAATGAATATAACAATGTCTGCTCAAATGAGTGACTAAAAACACAATAAAAATGGGAGGAATCTTGCTTAAATCACGCAAAAACAATCTTATCTTTTGTCCTTTTTACAGTGCACACATTTGCACGTGTTCTCTCAGAGTCCCACACTGTTGCTTCTCTCAGACTCTCAGACTGGTAACGTGGTGGAGATGTCGGCCCGTCCCACCCAGTCCCGCAGCACCGTCCTCTTGCCCATGGTCAGGATCCCCGCGGCCTGGTTCCCCTGTCCATGCAACAGGTGGTTGAGGCGGCTCTGAAGGCTGAACTCTTCCTCTGAGCGCTTCCCCAGAGTGAGGATCCCGGCCGCAGCGTCTCCGCCCGCAGACCGGAGCCCCGCAGGTCCGCACAGCAGCAGGATGAGGCGGCAGGACGGGGACGGGTGTCTGCAGCACTCATGCACCGGGCTGGAACCGCAGGAGGGCTCAGAGAGGAGGAGTAGCATGACCAGGAGCATGGCTTTCTGAAACACACACATTTACATAAGGTTTGGTGTCTGTGTGAATGATTAAAGCGTGAATTAGTCAGCGTTGGTGGGGGGGGCCAAAGGCAGAGATCAGTTGTCTTTCTTCAGTCTGCTCCAGGGCAGCTGTGGCTACAGTAATAATTTATCACCACCGTATATGGAGTAAATGAAAAAGGCCATGTGAAGCTACGAAAAGTGCTGTATGAAAACCAATGCATTCTTTTCTTTATTACGAATGAGTGGAGTGAAGCTCTTTCTATGACCTTAGTCTGTGATGTGCAGTGAAATGCTCTGACAACAATGCATTACATGTAAGGAATAAGGAGTAAGTAAGTTATATTTATTCATATAACAGATTTTACTGACCAAGGTCACCCAAAACACTTTACAATGTTCAGAAACCAGATATACTGTATTTTTTTCCATTCAGACATGATGATGATCGAAGCGAAACACCGAAACACACTGGCGCATCAAAGCCCCCTACATTCAATCATTACATTCCTTGTATATGTTTTAGTGTTTTAGTTTTAGTGCCACCGTGCGGGCGGCACGGTGGCTGAGTGGATAGCACTCTCGCCTCTCAGCAAGAAGGTCCTGGGTTCGAATCCCGGTCGGACCAGCGCCTTTCTGAGTGGAGTTTGCATGTTCTCCCCGTGTCTGCGTAGGTGGGTACTCCGGTTTCCCCTACCACTAAAAATATGTCCAATAGTTCTGGCATGCGCTTCCTGTACTGGCGACCCCGCTCCCATCTCTGTGTGGAGTGAGAGACAAATGCCCAAAATTAACAATTGTAAACCGCTTTGAGACTCAGATCTGCAGTAAAAAGGCGGTATAAAAATAAAAACTTACTTACTAACTTACTAACTTACTTTAGTGGTGATCCAGAGCACCCTGAGGAAACCTACGCAGGCACGGGGAAAACATCTAGGCTTCACTTAGAAAGATCCTGTTCCGACCGGGATTCAAACCCAGGACCTCCTTGCTGAGAAGCGACAGTACAATCAACTCAGCCACTGTGCACATACTTCCACATTTTAACATTCACTCCTTGAAGAAAGCAACGAATGTTTTAGGTTTTGGATTGTAGTTGTCAATACTACTTAAAGGCACACCGCGGACTTTGTGACCTAAAGAGTTGACACATATGAGTTATTTTATATGAATACTTGGGCCAATATACAGCGCTTGACACTTGCAATGCTCCGAGCGGGGCTGCCCTCTTGAAATACCGCCCATGTAAGTTTCGAGCAGACGGACCGTCTGCCACCAGGTCACGTGACTTGGAAGAAAGACTTGCTTTACGGCTACAGGCGCTGATATACTCATGGAGCTAAGGCTTTTGCTACTCATTTTTCACCTGCTCGACTCCTGGTCATGGCTGAGGCAAGGAAAAATTTTAAACCTTCGGAGGAGGCTAAAAAGAGGAAACGCGAAAGGGATCGTGCTGTAAGCTGCATGTCTGTATGAGCGCTGCTCTTCACCTGGTTCCTGGATGTCATCGACTGCAAAGATGTCATTCCACGCAGCACGAGCTAGACGCAGAACTCCCTCATCCAGGATATAGAAGTCCATGTGTGGTAGATTACTAATGCAGCGGTCTGGAGGCTGACCACAGCAGAGTCTCTCAATATCTGTAGGCATGTCTCTACAGTTTGAACACACACACCAGTGCATGCTGTCTGAATACACACTCAAAAGACACCGGCTGACTGTTTGTTGACTTTTGCGACAGTGCTGAGTTGCTTGTGGCCACTAGGGGCGCTAAACGTGAAAGTTGCAGGTCTAGCGCCCCTAGTGGCCAAGAGTTACACGGTGTGCCTTTAATACTACTTTTTGTTAAAGGCACACCGTGTAACTCTTGGCCACTAGGGGCGCTAGACCTGCAACTTTCACGTTTAGCGCCCCTAGTGGCCACAAGCAACTCAGCACTGTCGCAAAAGTCAACAAACAGTCAGCCGGTGTCTTTTGAGTGTGTATTCAGACAGCATGCACTGGTGTGTGTGTTCAAACTGTAGAGACATGCCTACAGATATTGAGAGACTCTGCTGTGGTCAGCCTCCAGACCGCTGCATTAGTAATCTACCACACATGGACTTCTATATCCTGGATGAGGGAGTTCTGCGTCTAGCTCGTGCTGCGTGGAATGACATCTTTGCAGTCGATGACATCCAGGAACCAGGTGAAGAGCAGCGCTCATACAGACATGCAGCTTACAGCACGATCCCTTTCGCGTTTCCTCTTTTTAGCCTCCTCCAAAGGTTTAAAATTTTTCCTTGCCTCAGCCATGACCAGGAGTCGAGCAGGTGAAAAATGAGTAGCAAAAGCCTTAGCTCCATGAGTATATCAGCGCCTGTAGCCGTAAAGCAAGTCTTTCTTCCAAGTCACGTGACCTGGTGGCAGACGGTCCGTCTGCTCGAAACTTACATGGGCGGTATTTCAAGAGGGCAGCCCCGCTCGGAGCATTGCAAGTGTCAAGCGCTGTATATTGGCCCAAGTATTCATATAAAATAACTCATATGTGTCAACTCTTTAGGTCACAAAGTCCGCGGTGTGCCTTTAAGTCCTCAGAGACTGTTGTGATGTAGGGCTATACAAGAATAAATTGTATTGTATTGTAAATAACATAAAAATGTGTTTTTACTTTTTAATTTTTTTAAAAATGGAGTTATAGAGCCTAAAACCAACTGAGATTCCCCAAAGAGAAAGATTTCAGTTCCCAGCTTAATGTAGAGTGACACAAAAGGTGATCTACCAAAAGGTTTGGGGAAGGACATGTTTGTTTCATCTCCTTATCCCACTCTGTCCAAGAATTCTTATACATCCACATAAGAATATCTGTCTAAAATGTCTTGTTATTGTTGCCTCTGGTGCAGACTTGAAGATCAGCAGTGAAGTCTGCTCCGTGGGGTTTGTCAGAGTCCAAAGAGACCAAAGCTCAAGTGGAATAAAGTTTGTGTTTTTGTTCTTTCGTCTCTAAACTCTAAGTAAGAATTCTACAGAATGCTGTGAGCAAGACCTAAAACACCTGGAAATATCTGTAACATTTGGAGCTGTAGCTTTGGCCTCTGATTTACTATGAGACAATGAGACTTTCAATAATAATGCAATCTCACGAAAGTAAATGTGCAATCTTGTCTGATACAAGAGAAACTCAGAAAATTGTGGATTTACTTCTGTAATTAAGCTTAGAGTAGGAAACTAATATTACAAACTCTAAAGCAGGGGTGTCAAACTCATTTTGGTCAGGGGCCGATTAAAAAATCTAGGAACTGGTCGAGGGCAGTAGAAGAAATTTTCTTATAATAGTTTTTTACATTATGAAGGTATTTTAATATGTTTTTTTTCTGGTTTCAATTTCTGAATACAAAATCCATTTATTGTTTAGATTCAACCAAAACTGGATCAACTATAAAGTTAAACACATTTTATATTGAATTATTTAAATTCTAGTGGTATTATTGGGTTAAAATGTTAGAATACATCACATTTGGTTGTTTTCCAGAGAAAATAGATTCTGTATAACCTGCCTTGGTCACCCATTACCATCACTGCTGCTAGTTAATAATAATAAAAAACAATATTTAGGGGCCACAAAAAATTGTGTTGCGGGCCGGATCTGGCCCCCGGGCCTTGACTTTGACACCCATGCTCTAAAGCAGGCATGTCAAAGTCAAATAAATCAGAGGGCCAAAAAAACTAATTTTCTGCGAGCCGAGGGCCGGACTGGTTCAATGTTTATTAACTCATTGCCTGCCAGCCTATTTCAGAACAGGTACTCCCATATTGCCAGCAGTTTCTGATGATTTTTATAGATTTTTCAAGACCCACAGAATATTGTGTACTATGACTATCTGAAATCCGAAACCAGATTCTGAAAGAATAGACTGTCTACTTTCATCAGCAAAAATAATTTTGTTTCTAGCTTGTAATCCCCAGTTGAGTAGAGGGAAGTTTTACTGAAATCACCAAAAAGCTGAGAAAAAAGAGGCACAACAAGTGCATCTAGCTGTTTTCAAACCATTCAGAGAGCGCTACTGCCACCTGCTGGCTCGATTCAATATGCTCTCAAGCTTATTCCCAAACATATTAGATATAATAGACATCTGGGAACATAAAAATAGCGGAAAACGCAATTGACGTTAAAGTGCGTCAATGGTAGGCAACGGGCCATGTAAAATTCATTCGCGGGCCGGATTTGGCCCGCGGGCCTTGACTTTGACACATGTGCTCTAAAGAGACCTGTAAGCCTTTGCAATAAAGTTCATCATAATAATGTTGATAGTGGCTCACAGTTTGTAAAAACCTAAAAACATCCCAGAAAATGAAACCATGATCGTTAACATTATAACAATCGTAGCAAATGTCGGTCTACATTTACATTTAAATCACACACTAACCCTAACCCAACAGAAGTGAACAACATTTCTTACAACTTTCACACCTGTTTCACCTGCAGCCACAGTTCTATTGTAATAGTGGCATATATTCCATTAGATATACATATACTACAATATATTAACATTTCAATCACATAAATTAACCTTAAATTTACCTTAAATCAGTTCAGTTCAGTTCAGTTCAGTTTATTTAATTGCCATTTGCAGTAAAAACACGACATTGGAATACGTTAGCAAAAAGTCACCAGTGTACACAGACAAATACAGACATAAAACAACATTAAAAGACAGAAATAAAACAAATAAAACAGTAAACAAATGTCACTGTGAAATTGATCGACTAAAACAGTTTCAAAACAAGTGCAAATCATTAAAGTGCTCTGTTCACACTGATAACAGCTTGTGGATAAAAACTGTTAGCGTAACGAGATGTCCTGCATCTCAGAGAGCGATATCTTCTGCCAGAGGGAAGAAGCTGGAACATGGCTTTTCCAGGGTGGCCAGAAGAGTCATTAACAATCCTAAGAGCTTTGTTTAAAAGTCTGGATTTATAAAGAACCTCCAGAACAGGAAGCTCACAGCCCACGGTCC